TGCATACATACACACACACATATATATATATATATATATATATATATACATACACATGAGTATGTATATATATATATATATATATACGGACACATGTTGCGTGCGTGTGTTGTTCCGCTGCCCTATAGTCTATACCGGGTCCACGGAACCGTTAGTCTGGTGGGTTCCAGGAGGCGGCGCTGCTGTCAAGCACGATTTGTACCAGTAGCAACGGTTTAGGCTTCTGCAATCCGGCTGACGCATTTCCGGGCAAGTCTTCTTATGTCCGTGCACCGGAAAACATATTTTTCCACCAGCGCCGGTCGGCTGCCTGGGATTGTGGTGGTTCGAGCTGGCAGACCACGATAGCGGCACGCCAGCACGGGGAAATGACAGTATCGCATCAAGCGTTCAAACCAGGAATTGCATGAGAGCACCGTGATAGCAGAGTGGGGCACACCCCGATCCAAGTACGAGTGACAACCCAGAGGATTTGTCGAGCTTTGCTTTGCAGTGTCATGACTTCGCTTGCTGCAACTTGGTCACTGGCGTAGCGCCGCATGTCTCTTAGTGTCCTAGTTGTGCAGTGGTTTTTGGCTTGGCCTCGTTGCCTTTGAGCCTGAAAAAACAACGACTAGATACAAAAAGGGACCGGACGGCCAGTCTGTGGTGATGGCAGCTGCTGCTGTGTTTTGCCATTGCTTTGGGTTTCTGGCTTTCGCTACCCCTAAACCATTGACAGCCTGAGCATGCCTGAGCTTGGAAACCAAAATCTCAAAGATGTCAAAACAAATAGCGTAAGCAATCAAATGTGTAGTGCCTGTGACATCATACTCCCCAGTTAACCCGCCTGGGTTGAATTTTGACTTGGTTTGCTTGAACGCTCCTGTTAAACTGGCGTTACACTCGTGGGTTGGACTCCTGGTGCATATGTGGTACTGAGGCAAGCGACATTTGGGGACAGCGACCGTTGACATTGAGCCTGCCTGCTGCCCACCCAGAGATGTACATTATGTCCGTTGGGTACCCCCTGTAAAGATCCAATAACAGCCAGTTTAGTTCGATCAACGCATAGACCCCAATCCGGATTGCAGGGCCATCTGTTTTTGTCCTCAAGAGAGCACTACAGTAAGTGTTTGCCATAGCGGGGTTCCAAATCGCAACCGGTTCTCCAAAGGAGAGTGGAACGCCAAGCCCCAGCAGCTGATCCAATCATGCAATGGGCACCGTCCTTGCTGCCTTCTGTTTCGAAGCCAGTGAGTCCTGGAGAATTAGGCGTCATTAAGTACTGGTTCTGATGATAGTTATGTAACAAATGATCTTACCATGACTGGTAGAGTCCTGTATGAGGGTTCCACTAGGCAGTATCAAGGGGCACGACCCATGGTGACTCAGACTGTTGCTACATCTTGTATCATCCATATTCGCGACGAAGCGGTGTCAACACTGCCTGCCTGTCCAATCAACATTATTGCCAGTACTCCGATGGCTGTCTTTGTTACATGTTGGGGACTCATTGGTGTGCCTGTGTCGCCTTACTGCGACCCTGGCGTGCAGTTGTTAATGCCCTCTCACCGGTTACTCTGCATGCGTAATGGCTCGATCAGAGCCATGGCTTTTCACTGCGGAAGCCGGATCGTCTCTTTTTAACATACTGTTGAATGTTTCTATATCGGGTCTCTGATATATATATATATATATATATATATATATACGTATCATAATATGTATACATATATGTATATGTAGTTTCGTAGATGTCTATACATATTATATATGTGCGTGAGCACATATGCAAACAGTCTGTAGCGGCACAGTATGATTTGACGGGCGACGTGGGTCCGGACTCGAGGATCCTCCCGCCAATCTGCCGACCTTGCCGCTTCCGCTACAGTGAAGCTCGGCACTTTGCTTGGCAGTCAGCTTTATATATAGGGTTTAGGAAGCTGAAGGCTTTGGGATTTGTCTAGGGCTTTTCAGTTAAGGGATTTAAGGTCAGGGTTTGCGCTTTTACGATTTAGGACGATAGTCGGAACCTTACTGAAAGCGGTTCTTCTGCGGGAAGAAAAAAGGCGTATGCTGCCGTCGGTATCATCTCGAACCGCTGCGTCTTGCTCGGCTTTGAACAGACCCAAATTTTTACTGCGACCAGACTAATGATTCCGTTGCAGAAGCGGGAGATGCTCAGTGTTGACCTCTTCCTTCTGAGGCCGACACTGCTCTGCTGAGCTGATGACGCGGTGTGTCATGCGGGAATTTGAATGTACAGCGCTGGTTGTTCCTTGTACCTTTCGAGCAGGACAGCCATAGGAACGCCACATGCCCAGGGCCTCAAAGGTCATCGCTGCCGTTGAAATGAGAGAACTGCACGTGATGCGTGATGGCATCTGCGCGGTCGTGCTGATCCATTCCACTCCGCAGCATACTCTATCAGAAACTCTTCGGTTTGGTTTTTGCTCAGGTTGGCCCCTGCTCGTGCTGTGCAGTGTAGTACCAAGACATGAGAGCATTTTTCCGCATAGGCAAGCACTCCAGACAGTGCTCATGATTTTGCCTTGAGGAGGCGTGAAGTAAACGTGCATGAGAATCGCGGATGCAGAGCAAGCTTAGTAAAAGCATCCGACTGGCCTGCAAGGTAAGTCTTGAACCCCCAGCCCACCCAACACCACACTTATTACGCCACACCACCACACCTAGCCCACAAACCCTCCTCGTCCAGCGGGGCTGTGGCTGCAACTTACATATGTGCCCACCGCTGCGATGTTTCTGAATGGCGCCTTCGGGCAGGGCTCCCAGCTTTGCTGTTTTCTTGAGATATGCTATGCATAGTGAAACTATGCACAAGGTCTCCCTGCATCATATGCATTGTACCAGAATATACTACCACAGGCGCGGCAGTTTAAATGCCACGCAGAGAGGTTGGATTTTTGAGCTTTGCGTGGTTCAGACACAGAGGAAGAGTCTATACACAATCTTGCATTCATAGTCCGTATAGGTACATGTTCAAAGATAATTACAGAAAAACATGAACACTTGTTCTTGAGCATGCGCATGGCATGTGTGTGTGTAGATGTATGTATACATACAAGCGTATATATACATATATGTGTATACAGACATATCTAATTATACACATACACACACCCATGTACACACATGCATGCACCAATAAATGCCTTAATACCGTACACACATACATGGATACATCTGAGCAGACAGACAGACAGACAGGCTTCCATGCATCCATGCATACATACATACATATCCGCACCTGCATCTATATATCCATGCATACGTACATGCTTGCATGCATGCATGCCTACAAAAATGCATACATGCATACATGCATATTTACATCCGTGCAAGCACACTTGCGTGGTTGCATGATTGCTATGCTCACTTGCAGACCTCATCATTTTCTTACATATCTGCAGACAGGCAGGCAGACCGACAGATAGACAGAGAGCGGCACAAAATGGAAACTCATGTACATGCGCATACACAGGTACATATATATATATATATATGTACATAACACACACACACACACACACGAGCACATACAGATGCGCACGCGTATGCATACACGTACACAGATGAAAAGCATACACGAATACCTGTACATACACATATACAGGCATATTGTGTGCATGTACAAACAAAACGAATATTGTATATATAAATATATATATATATATATATATATATATACATATATATAAATAAATATATATATATATATACATATATAGATATAGATATAAGTATACAAAGGCATATATGTATAAAGGTATGTAGATACACACAGCTTCATGGGTGCATGCATATATATATATATATATGCATGTGTATATATATATATATATATATATATATATATATATGCATGCACATGCACATGTGTATGTATATGATTAAATATACATACAGATATATACATATATATATATATATGTATATATATATATATATACACAGGTCACACGAGGGTATGTACTGTATGTATGTCTGTATGCATGCATGTATGTGTGAATGTGTATGTATATCTATATATATATATATATATATATGTACATATGTCAGTGAGCCTGTTTGTGTGTGAGTGGGGTAGAGGCCACTTCCGGTGTTGATGTAGGCTCATGTGAGTTATTCGGTCTGTCAGTCAGTTTATGTAGGCTGCTGCACACAGCCTACCGCCAACCTACACCCGAACTCTTGCAACCCCATCCCCCCTCATCACTGCACCAGGAACTTCTCATATCCACACGGCAATGCCTCGGCAACCTTCGGCCTAAGTCGTACTCCGCATCATCAAAACCCTCATCAGGAACCCTGCAAACACTAAACCGCTGCACCCTAAACCTGCAATCAGTGCCGTGAGGTTTTGCTGTTCAGGCGGCGCGGACTGTAGCGCAGGAGGCCCAGGAAGAGGCCCTCGTTGTGGCACTAATAATTGCCCTATACTATATTGTTTGAAATTGGTGTTCCTTATTATTAAGTATAGTATAATGGGCCCCAAAATCTTATTCTAATTATTAAGGCCCCTACAGAAAGTTCTTCAAGCTCTGGAGTCGGTCTAGCAGAGGGGTCCCAGGTTTAGTGTTTGAGACGTCTTGATACCACGTAGAGGCTGCTGTAGCTGGGAGATTCGGAAACAGGCCGGTGACTGTCACGCAGCGCCCTGAATCCCCTCAACACCGAAGCCTCGACTGCTTAGCCCTAGAGCTTAAAGGATATATATATATATATATATATGTATAATATAGTATATATATATATATCTCTCTCTCTCTCTCTCTCGAGCTCGAGCTCGAAGCCCTCACCGAGGCAGTTTGTCAAGACAGCAGCCAGAAGTCTGTGGAGCTTCCGGCAGAGGCGCCCTGGCACCGGTTTTGTGCGGTGAAAAGCCTGAGACGTTGGCGCCAGGACGATGAGGAAGTTGAAGACTTGCAGGCCACAGTCGCTTTTGCTCGAGGGTTTTGGGCCTTTCCCTGATACCTGTGTCTTCATCACATGGTCTGATGCAGGCACATTTTGCCGGCATGTTCGCAAGGGCCTCAGTGCTTTTCGTTTTTTTCCGTCTGCTGCTTTCACTTTCACGGAAGCCCTAGCAAAACTGCAAAGCCAGAGGAGCACGAACTCCCGCAGAAACCCTGAACATCCCTGAACGTTTCAAGACTGAACCACCTGGGGACCTGGGTGGATGGCACTCTGCGAGATCCCAGCCCGTCCCCGAGAGGCCACGGAGTTTGTATTGGGGTTCCGATCGGCAAACCCCCAAGCCCAGCCTAGCCCAAGCGGCAAAGCAAACCTCGTTCAAGTCTTCCGTTTAGAAGCCACTAAAACTCTATGTACCCGAAGCGCCTTATCAGCCCCATAAAGCCAAACCTCTATCCTTCACGGGTCTCCAGGTGGTCAAACTCAGCCGGAAGGGCTCCGACCCTCTTGGCGTGGAGTTCGACAAGATGGATCCCGAGGTGGGTTCCAGGGTTTAGGTTTAGGTTTGGGGTAGCTTATGGCCTTCTGATGCGGGTGGTTGAGCGTGCTCCTCCTTGCTTTGACTTGCTGTTATCCTTTGGGATGCGCACTGCAAGGGAACGCTTCGGGGAGGGACAACACATAGTAACATAGTAGTGCGGAAGCGAAACAAGAGCGGACGGAATTTCAGTTCTGGCAGTTTGAGATCTTCTTGGGCCATGCAGACCACCTGCCATCAAGGGCCTACTCGTGGCAAAGGAGGCCATCACGAAGTGAAACTGGCTTTCAAAAAGGACGCAGAGTGGAGTCAAACTAAATCACGCATCGGATCGTAGAAGGCGCCACAACATGCAACGTTGGTTTGGCTCTTAGAGTTTTTCCGTGATTCAGCACCTTACCCTGGGATTGGGGCTGTTAACGCTTATTGGGAGTGCCTGTATCGGGGGCGGTGGGATCCCAAAAGTAGCAGGAATGTGCTTCATCAGGCACCAAGCAGGACGAGTGGTGTGGGCGGTGTGTTGCACGACGTTTTCGGATGTGCAGCTTCAACAAGCCAAAAAAGTTGCAGCAGCGCAATGGGGAAACCCCGAGTGCACGGCACTTCGCAGGGATCGCAAACAAGATTTGGCAGCAGGTGCGAAAAAGGATCCATCACGTATCACGTAAATTGTTGCAGCTCCGCAAGAGGCGGAAGAGGCAGCCGAGAGGTCCAAAGGAGGTGTCTGCCGGACAGGCTGCGAACTCGATGGCAACGCATGGGAGATTCGTGGGGTGTCTTGAATCGCCTCGGCCAGTTCCAATGCCACACGGGCACACGGAGCCTCAATACACACTTCCTGCTGCCGCGGATCCGTTAGTGCCGTGAGTGACCGTCTTGGTCAAAGGCAGGGTTTACTGCGAGTTCCACCTGGCTTTTCAAGCGCTGTATCGGGCTCTTCGTACTCGTACTTCTCTCTTTTCTTTCTTCATTTACAAGTGTTGCTGCCAGAGGAGACCCAAGGATCAAGAAGTGAACTCAGAGACTGGTAGCAAAGTCTTAGGGGCGTCTGCAATCTACACAGCAAACTGAGGCCTGCGCAGAAGTAGTCGCGCTCTGGTCGGTCAACCGCACTATCAACGGGGTCTCATGGAGATCCTCGATATACTTCTTCAGTGGAGATGGGACATTCGTCATTATTAGGGCTGAAATTTTGCAGAACCCACAAAAAGGGGCAGAAATCGGGCGATCCTGCCAGACCGTCAAATTGAAGCTGGGAGAGCCACACCCAAGAAGTCCAAGCACACTTCGACAGAATCTGATGGTGGTGAAGCTGACGGGACCTGGCCTTTTCCACACCTACAACGAGACTGCCGACGACGAGAAGATGGCAACCTGCCTTTTTGAAATGGACTTCAGCGTTGAGGGTTTAGGGAAAGTGTGGTGCGTTGCATTTTCTACCGCTCCAGGCCCTAAGCCTAAGCTAGTTCCTTGTGAAGGGCTCCTGCTCTTGGAAGGGATCGCCGGGTGCTCCCAGCACGTAAAGGAGTCTTTGTTCTGCATCATGGGCCCTAAGCGCCAACAGGCAAGTAAAACACAAAGAACGGACTTCGAACCCTGTGACACCCGTCTGAGTCAAACTTGGGGGTCAGGGATGTTGTTACTTTCCACTGAGGTTTGCCCTGGAGACAAGATCAAACGGGTAAACGGTCAGGAGGCGCCGGCAGAAGAAGCTTGGCCTCAAGCTTGAGGATTGTAGCATGTGAGGGCCAGCCGACTTTTGCATTGCTTTGATGTTGTTACAGAGGCCGCTGGCTGATCAATCCCATGTTATGCTCTAGCGCCAAAACCTGATACTGGGGGTCTTGCTGTGTAGCCCGAGATCTTGGCTAGGCTGGGTTTCGGTACACTCCTGTGGTAAGGTGATTTTTCTGGCGTGCTGAAGTTTCTCTTAAAGTTAAGTCGAAAGAAGAGCGGGCACAAGACGCAACGCAAAACGCTGACAGCATGCGAGGCAATAACAGCCTCAACGATTCTCAGCCTCAAGCAAAGTCTTGCACTGTGTACGGCAGATACCATCTCAATCTGAAGCTTCAGTCCCAACACATAAACCTTCAATGCTGCGTGCTTCGTGACGTTTTTCTGAAGCAGCAGTAACAACACACGCCGTGTCCGATGGCGTATGCGGCACTTTGAGCATACCCCAAAATCCCAGTCCCGACATTCGAAACCTGCTACCCTAAAGCCTCAATGCCTGAACCTCACTCCCTAAACCCTAGTTGTCGCAATCCCTCAACCCGAAGCCTTAGCCCCCGAACGCCTGAGAGCAACCGTCGCCTCCCCAGGAGTTGATCGCCTTGCTTGAGAAAGACCGAAAGTTAACCATCGTCCTGCAGCACTGCCAGGCTGCCGACCCCAATCCTATGCAATGCTACTCGTAGCTGCAACCCCCGACGAAGAAGAACATGCTTTGGCTGCTTTGACAACTGTGAGACGTCTAGTGAATGCTCGGCAGATATGCTAATCTCGCGACCTTGCGTTGATGTGCAGTCCGCTGTGGGGGATGGTCGTGGTTGAGGGTTTAGATAAGTTACGTACATTTGGGAGCTGAGCTCTTGCGATGTGTGAAAATTATGTGGAGATCGCTCCTAAACCCGATTTTGGACGCAGACCTTCATTACTGCCCGACGGGCCCAACTCCAACCTTGGCAAATGCTTCCTTCTAAGGATTCAATTCACTCTCAACTCTGAGCCTTACTGTGAACCCCTAAACCTCAAACCTGAACCGTTCTGCCTCTCAGGAGTCAGAGCACTACATTGAAAAGAAAGGGAGGTCGCCCCGACCTCAGAAGGAAGGAGTTCGAGTGGCCATTCGGAGGGCTAGGGTTTAGGGGCTTAGGGACGAGTTTGGTGCTCTCAGGGTCTCCGCAAGCGCCAGCTTGTGGGCCACGAGCTCCTTGCTTCTTGCCGGCTCCGCTTGAGACTTGCCGGGCTTTCGAGCCGAAGAAGCCCTGTTATGTGCTGTAAGTCCTTCACTAAAGCCCTAAAGGCCCTAAAGTAGGTTCATTGCTGGAGGCTCGGCTTGGAGCTGGCGGTCTCCGAAAAGGCAAGGAACAGGGTGGAGGGATTAGGGTGGGCTCGGTGTAGTATGTCGTATATAATTGTGTTTTTTTACACACACACATGTACATATTGTATACATAGTATATATATATATATAGAGAGAGAGAGAGAGAGAGAGAGAGAGAGAGAGAGAGAGAGAGGGAGGAGCGAGAGAGGGAGAGGGAGTCTGTTCCTGAGGACCCGACAGCTGCAAATCGAAATGCTGGAAAAGAAGTCTCCATAGAGACCATATAAGACCTTGTATAATCCGTAAACCTGCTGTAAAACCGTTATATCAGCCTCGACTACACTTCCAAAAATACCATAAACTCCCCGAAACACTCCTTAATTATTTTGAACCTCCCTACAAGATCCTTGCGAATCCTATAGGATCCTATGAAGCCCTCCAGGCTACATGCTTGACCGTGCAGCGGATCGAGGCCAATGGGCTCGTCGCTGTGTCGACCCTCAGCCGCGCTGAAACTGCAAGCCCGAATTCATGCTATTTGGGGTTTAGGGCTGGTAGTGTTCAGGTTCTGGGATTTCGGAACTAGGGTTGTTCGAATGCGGCTCGGAGTACTACGCAGAGCTGACGGCTGTGTGCAACGAAGGAATCAGGCTGGAAAAGACCGGCAGATAAGAGTTCACGACAAGATCATTGCCGTTGACGGCGAGCGTGGAACGGCTGCTTGGCTATGTTGAATCTCGTCGGGGTCTCTGGATCAGACCTGTCATGCCGGAGGCGTGCTTGACTGAGTCTTCATTGCAGCTTCTATTCTGAATCGGCCGTGGCCACCGTTGTCTCGGGTTCCCGGATGTGCCACAGACCTGGCGAGCACCGGACAGCATGCAACGAGAACAAGCTTTGAGTCATGCCGCCAAGATGCATTGCACCGAAGACCTGACAGCATGACTGCAGAAAACCCCGTGACCGGAGACCGGAAAGAGCTCGTCGCTGGGATGCATCCCACAGCCCACGAACGCATTGGTCGGCAGAATATCGTCATTCTTTCCAAGCTCACCAAATAGCATGGTAAATGGCCCAACGGATGGTCCTAAAACTCTCAGTGCCGCAGTCCTATGGGTATTTGAGGCTGTGTTATTGTGCAGGATGAACTGGATGCATGTCTCCTATTTATATAGTATTTTTGGTGATACTGTAACTCACTTCTCGTGGAACACATTTACTGTGCTTCGTGTATCTGTGGGCTATTGCAGTACTGGCATGGCATATTGTACCATCACATTTTATCGTCACATCGTCACCGTCCTACCATACTGCCTCAACAGTATGTAGAAACTGACATGTGGTTGGATCTCATGCAGTGACCCATGAGGCACCAGAGCTGATGCGAAAAATGAAGGACGGGAACGCAGACCCTCCGATTGATAAGGCCGTGGAGTCTCATTAGGAGCCCCACTATTGAGACGCTGATCCGCGAGAGGGAGTTGTTGAACCGTTGGCGTGCTAAGCTACCTGGGCTCCGGGCTTCGCTTTAATGGCAGAATCCCGATACACTGCCCAAAAGGGGACTTTGCCACTGCTGACAGGAGCGAGATGTTGTCATCCTCAGCGTGTTTTCCTGGGACGCATAGGCTCGGCTTCTGCGAGCCGTCAGTTGTGCAGATTTTCTGCTACCCCGAAAGAAGCTGAACATCACCGGCAAACGAGGACCTGAAATTGGGCTTGGCGGTAGATGCGCTTCTCACATTCAGCAGTGGACACGAAAGGGAGCCAAGGGCTTGTTGCTGCCGGTTGTGGCTTCCGGGTGCTGTTGCAACCTGCCTAAAACCCACATGCCAAATCCTACACTCAACACCTCAACACAAAACCTACAGGCTTGGAAGCCGAAACATATACCTGAGCCGCAAGAACAGAACTAAGGCCCTGTAAGAAACCGAAACCCCAACAGCCCGTTCTAGGGCATTGAACCCCAAGACCTCAACCCTAAAGCCCCAAACCCCTCAGCCCCAAACCCCTAAGGGCATTGATCCTTGGAGGCATCTGCCATCGGCCCGGGCCCGGGGGCGACTGCGCACCCGAGAGCCTGAAACCTAGGCTCTCGGCAAAGGGCCCGGGCTGAGAAAAGAGCGACGGCATCTCAGAAACTGCAGGGGCGGTTTGTAGGGTTTGGGATTCAGGGTTCAACAGTAATCGTAATCAAAGTAATAGTGGCAATAACAGTGAGCTGAAAAAGAAGCTTGAAGTGGTGGGATCCCTGCTCTATGGCCCCTTAAATCCTCAGGCCTTTGCTTTGCCCCCGCCGGCCTCCTGTGCCTGATCTTCGGGGAGGTTTCTTGAAAGAGGTCTTTTCGGTTTTGGTGGCGTTAGCAAAGCTGCAGAGGGCACTGCTCAGGCTGAGATTGTCAGAGAAAGCAGCTGCACCCACAGCATGTTCAATCTCTCGCGGTGTTGGCAAGCTTTGACTCAGCAGCGAGCACCATGAAATTTGCATGCGAAGTTGCAAGAGCCCTATGTCCGACCCAAAGACAGATCCGAGCGAGCGTGACCCTGACATGGAGGCCTAGAAGCATCCTTACAATGAGGACTCTGCGAGCCCTCACCTCTATAACTTTCAGAAGCCCCTCGCAAAGCCGAAAAGGCCTTCCTATAGATTCCTGATATGAAAAACCATCATCAAGGTACCCCCAGTTTTTGAGAGACCAGCCCATCATAAGAACATGGGCTGCGGCTGCACGAAGACAGGCCGGGATGGGTTGTGAGGGTTTCGGGTTAAGAAGTCGTAGGGTTTGGGGACCTTCTATGCTGCAGTTTAGTCCGAGAAGTGGCTCTTGTCAGGGGGTTGCTTTGCAGTACGGGTCCCTAATGCATCCAGGGATCCTACCAAAGAGGGCGTGTATGACCACCTGGTATCCCTAGAGCCAGGATCCTACCATTTGCACCCTTCGGCTCAACAACGAAGGCTCTGAGGCCCAAGCCCTAAACCCCAAACGGCGAAACTTCCTCGAGGAAGCGAGCCCGACGCGAGCTCCGGCCTTATCTGCACCGCGGGAGAAGTGGGCTCGGGAGCTTGAATGTGTGTGCTGTGTTCTCCAATAGAATTGAACTCCAGATATGCTTGGTACCATGATTATCATCATAATTGTTGCTGTTATTGCTTTTTGCAGCGGGCTTCTGTAGAGGTGCAATTTGGGTGTCGGAATAATTTCCCACTTTGTGCCATTGTAATGGTCAGTCTATAGATTTACAGTTTAGAGGAAAGTCTTTAGGGTTGAATGTAGGGGCCCTAGGCCTGTGGTAAAAGAGGGCTTAGTTTCAAGGTCTGATGCTAAGCAGCTCAGGGCTTCGAACATTATGGCTGAGGGTTTACAGGGGAAGTGATGACATCAGTAGCACGGGGTGTTAGGGGTGTATGTTATAGTAATTAGAGTTATGTGGGCAGCATACGGGGATCTGACTACTAATTTACTCGTAGATATTCCGAACTCTGTAGTAGTGCATGCTCAAGGAATCAGAGTTCCGATTTTGTTCGAACTTGAAGGGTTCAACGCTTCAACGAAGTTTGATCATGTCCTCACGAAGTTTGATCATGTCCTCCGGTGCCCTCCCCTCTTCTCCATGGTCCGAGGCAATGATTACAAGCTGGCTCGGAAGCTTCAGCAGGAAGAGGTGCCCGCCGCCTCCGCCGGGAAGATTGCTTACCTCTGGTTAGTAGGGAATGGAAGACTGGTAGTAATAGTAGTTATAAGTGTACCCCATTCCTCCATTCCCTACTAACCCAAGGTAAGATTGACGTTCGGCGGCTCTATTCAAGGGGCGCTTGGATTCTTCTGGACTCTACTGGGGGTTTTCCTTGGGACTTGCGGGGTTTCAAAGCCCAATTGAAAGGCACCTTCTTTGGCGAAATTTGCGATTGACCATGTGGCTGAGTCTCGATCGCAGCAGATTGAAGGAGGCCGAAAGACGACATTTAACGATATGGGCTTGAGTACTTCGATCTCACAAAGATTCGCAATATCCGAGGCGGCCTGAGTATCGTCGTGATCGCGGACCTTCTCGTCCTCTCCTGAATCATCATCCGTGGCGATGAATTCAATGTTGCTGCCGTTACCATCACCATCACAGTACCCTAAGCGATCTTAGCGATGCCACTGCTGATGATGGTGATGGTGATCCGATAGTGCTGATGACTGTCACATGATGCGAACCCGTGCCTCAATCACGACCTGGGTGTTAGCATCATCATGAGAGAAGTCCTTACATAGAGCCGAGATGCCCTTGGCCTGTGAAACAACTGCGTTAGCCAAGTGTAAATTATGCAGTCCACCAAGCAGGTACTTGCTTGCACCCAAGAAGACGTCAATACCCTGCGCGTGAAAGGCCGCAATAGATCCGAAGTTCCAGAACTCCTGAGCCTTGAACTCTCACACTCCGAAAAGAGGCCATGAGTATAATATCCTGGCCAATATCACCTCCCCAGCGTCAGGATCGTAATGCCCGACGGGCTGCCGCGCAGGGCGCCCAAGGTGCCCAGCGGTCGTCACCCGCGCCTCAGAGGCCGCACGTGAGTTCCGCTTAGGGGATTTTGCCGTACTAAAGTCTGAGTCAGGGTTATGCAAAGGCAGATCCCCGACGGAAAAGCCTGGCCACGACCGCGACATACTATTGGGGCCACTTTGGGACCACCAGGACCACGATGCAGGAAGACAACCAGGACGAGCACGAAAAGACCAGCAGGAGCACCAGGAAACACAGGAGACCACCACGAAGACACCACCAAGGAGACCGCCCCGAGACCACCACGACAGCACCCACAGCCAAAATGCTTTCCACAAGGACCTAGGCATTTCCGGAGTACGGCGTAAGCTGGCGGGATTCACGAGGACGCCCAAGATCCTTTCCCCAAAGTCCGGCTGCGATTCAAGGCTTTCGAGTAGGAGAATGTACAATGAATCAGACCTCCCGGGGACCGGTGCCTCCCCGCGATACTCTCAAAATACGACAGATAGGATCGCTTATCCCCGTTCAACAGTGTTGGGATCAAGGATTCATACGAGCACCGGATTCAGCTTTGCGGGTCTAAGCCGTCTAAACTACGGACTTCAAGCCCTGAAGTTGTGCTTGCGGGTTGCGGCCGTTGGAGCGCTCGGTGCTTCGTGTTTCAGGGCGCGGGATGATTTCGAGTGACATCGGTAATCTACAAAGCCGCGCGATGTCGTGCAAGAGATTGCTTTACAGTAACCGACCACAAAAAATAGAAAATGCAACGGAGTCGAGGGTCCAGGCATTTACTATTCATGCCATCGGCTGCTGTGGCGTGGCTGGTTGGCCGCTGGTGGGTTGGTGACACATTACTTAGGGTGTTGGGGGCTTGGCGCTCCAGCGACATGGCATGGGCAAGAGCAGCGCAGGTCTGGCTGGCAAGCTGCTGGCAGCGGGCGTTCGCTTGGAGGTATCGGAAATTGCCACAGTATTAACGTGGCCACCATGGCCTTGGAGAGTACCGAGACTACACCCCTAACCCAACACACGCCAGACACTGCAGCCCTCAACCCCGAAAATGCCCTTGCTCCAAATCCGAAACCCCCCAACTTCCCTTCCAAAGAAAAAGCTTAATCCCAAGCTACGCCATTCCAGGACCTTCAAGTGAAGAGACCGGCCCTGTGTCTCCGGAGGAGAGGAGGCAGCGAGCCCTAGAGGCCCGCTGTTGGCACGACGGGGCACTCGTGGGCTTACGGAGTTGTAGCCGTGACTGTAGCCAGAGTGTCACGTGTGGTCGTGGTGGTGGTAATGATAGCGGCAGTCGTCGTGGTAATTGCACGACGAGGAGGAGGAGCAGCCTATATAGTGCTGAAGGACAGTCTCAGTCAACGATGGAGATGAAGGCAGGTGATCACGATGCTTGCAATCATGATACCAACGGCGACCACTACAATGACCACGACCATGATCATGATCATGGTGATGGTGATGGTGATGAGGAGGAGGATGTGGTGGATGAGGATGAGGAGGCTGGTGATGATGATGATGATGAGGATGAGGACTGGGATTAGGATCAGGTTCAGGATTAGTGGGAGGCTGCCGACGCCAGAGAGAAGAGAGAGATAGAGAGTGAGTGTAGCCGTTTGGCATCAGCGCTCGCAGAGCTGTGCTAGAATTGTCCTTCCTCCAACATGGTGAGGTGGACGGCCTGTACCTCAGAGAATGGGTGAAAAATGGTGAAAACCTTCATCTGGCACCAACTTCTCCGACCTCACTTCACAGGTAAGTCAAGGAGAGTCCGCGCGGTACATGCCCAAACGATGCAGAAGAAGGTGACTACATTTTGTGGAAAAGACTTGAAGCCTATCCTGTCGCGCAGGCTGGGCTTGGCGATTGTGGCCGGAGCGGTCTGCATGACATAAAGTCGATGGCACAGGCTCCTCTCATCGCCATGGAATTGGCAATCCACATCATGGCCCTTGGACTTATGGTCTACGTGAGTTTCTGTGAGCCAGGATAACTCCACAAGAAGTGCAACCTTCCGAAAAGCGGAGTCGACCCCGAAAGTGGCAACGGCCCCAAAAGGTGGCCCAAGTCCTGGCAGTACAGCCGCCGGCTTGGCCGCTACGACCATTTCTGTAAGTGGGTTTATGATGCGATTGGGTTGCTGCAATGTTGTTTGCCCTGAGCCTCATTGGCTTGCTTCTTAGCTGGTCTTCAAGGCGTGTTTCTTCATTTCAGCACGGTATATCTCTGAAGAAGGACCAGGGCTGGTCTGGGGTGGCATTTGACGGTTCGCTGGCTCCCTGGCTCGTCTCTTAGCCGAGGCAGGTCCTGGAACAGGGAGGTCGCAGTTTTTTGCACTTGACTTCTTCCTTGGTCTTCCTCGACATTCAAGCGCCCATTCTACGCATTCACGTCGGTTTGGTATCGAGGAACGAGCTGGCGCAAGAATAGAAGGATAATTGAGATTGGCTGGCCAAAGGCACGTCGCTGGGCGATGGGATTCCAGTCGAACTGCTGGACGACGAGGAGTACAATGAGGTTTTCGACGCGAAGGCCTTCGTGCATAATGCCAGGAAGTACGAGTGGGACCTTGGTCCAGCAATTGCTGGAACCTCTGGTGCTGGCCGCGGTGGCCAGCCGGTGAAAAGGGCAAAAATTGAACAGCTGAATCTTACCTCTTGCCGTTGTTGATCTTACCGATTGCCGCTGTGTCTCACCAAGTTTCATCTACTTGCATGTACTTTTGTTTGCACAGGAACCAACGTCTTCAGGTCAGCCGCAATCGCATGAGGCTCGAATCAGTGCATCCCAGAGTCTCAATTGAAGCTGGCTGTGAGTTTGCTGTGTGGTCCAGCAGCGTTAAACCTCTCGCAGCCAAGTTAACGGATATGATATCCGTTAACTTGGCTGCGAGAGGTTTAACGCTGCTGGACGAGGTGACAGGTGGGGTTGCAATGTCTCCCCAGCCGCCCTTGCCGAAGCCGGCCGTTTCTGCAGCCGTTTTCTGGATGAGCTGCACCTGCCAGCTCGGACGATGTTCGCGATTTTTGTTAGGAGGCGTGGAAAAGCCGCGAACGAGAGAGTGTGCCGGGCTTGAAGACGCATCTTGAGCCCCTAAACCCGAAACCCTGAAACCCCTGAAAGCGAGGCGGCAGAGCGAAGGCAGAACCAGGTCGCGGGCGTCTCTGAGAAGAAGGACAGGAGGGCCATGGGGAGGATTCAGGATTTACGGGGCTAGGGTTTACCAAGATATTTTGGGGGTTCCGTAACATGGGTTATAGTAGATGGGGCCGAAAACCCTACTCTAAGTATTTGAGGCCCTTTATATTACCGGCTTCGGGTTTATTGGTTTAGGGTTCCAGGAGGGGTCAGGGCCTATCTTCTCCAAGCTCAGGGTTTTGAAGAAGATCCCGGTATCTGAGGCCTTGGGATACCGGGAGTTTAAGCCTAAGCATTCTAACTGGTCCCAGCGGTCTGCAAGAAGTCTCAGTGTGATCCGGCAAAGAGTCGCCGGCTGTCGACATCACTGGGTTCCTCGAGCGATGAAGGTTTGTGGTCTTGGGGTTTGAAGGCTGGGAGGGTTAGAGTAAACCCCAAAAAGTTGAAAACCGGCTTAAGGACAAACAGTGCTGGGATTCCCTATATTACTCGTAAGGATTGGGGCTACGGCTATTGGGTTTCCAACTTTTGGGTTTCTACCATAACATAAGGCTTCGGCTTGCGGCTTCTGGCACGATAGAAAGCATCTGATTCGCGACGTCTCCCCTGGCAAAAGCCTCGATCGAGGTAATGTGAACCCGGACTGCAGTGAACCGAAAGACCTATAGAATCCAGCTGAATCTAGAAGCGTGCAACCTTCAGCCTGAACAAGGATTGCACCCAGGATCGGAGACTTAAGGCCTCCTTATACATGACGAAGGGGATGTACGAAACGAATTCCATGAAACAGAAAGGGTGTTTGTAAACCTCGCGTCTTTGCAACAGAGGGTTCCATGAATCGGATCCCCTTTGCGATGCACAAGCGAAGGTGCAGGAAATGCGCGCCAAAGAGCAAAAAGACGCCCTCCTCGGCAAGCTGGTGGGCCGGCCTGAAGATGGGGGGGTCTCAAAAGCAGGGCGTACTTCACACTTAGGGCTCCGTAGAACAGTAGAAGTAGAAGGAAGACCGTTGTAGTTTAAGGTCTTTGTTAGGATCCTGTATTTTCTGAAAAGTTCCTTTTCGAGAGGATCTATAGTCTCGGAGTCTGGGGGAAATTCTCAGGCTTGCGTGCCAGCGTCCTCCTTCAACCGGTTGCGGGTTCATTTATCCAGGCCTTCCGGGTCAGTGTTCAGGGTTTAGGCTGGGGGTTCGGGGGTACAGGGCCTGTTTCATGGGTTTTACGATATTCACATTCCTGAGCTATCCTAGAACAAAGGCGGTAGTCCGAAGCCCGCAACGTTCCGGGCGAGCCAGGCATGGAAAGCCAGTGATAGTTTGGGAGAAGGGTTCCTTTATCATGTCCTTGTTGTCAGATAGACCCGGACCCCCCAAACCCGAAGGAGCCAAGGCAAGACAGTTCTTGCCACACCTATCCCTTCTCCCTGCTTCAGCTGCAGGCGGAGCACTACGCTCGGCAAAAGCCGGTGTCCAAGCCAACGGCGAGGTTCTGTAAGTCTTAGTTTCGCCCCAGATGCCCTAGAATCCTAGAACTAGCCTAGAACACTAAACGTCGAAGCCCTAAACCCTAGGCTTGGACATAAGCCCTGAATCCTAAATACACCCTGAGCCCATCCCCCCCCCCACTCCGTTAAATATGCTCTGCCAAGGACCGAGATGCCCATGGGCCTTTCAGCTGCCAGTGCTGGGATCCAAGGGCTCTCATTGGCCACGGCTGTTGGTGTGGTGTGATATCAGTGTTATTGAATACGGTTATCATTTTTAACATATTCACTATTACTCGTGTGTATGATTCTGCTTGTGTTGGCGATGTCTACGATTATGAGATTGCGGCTGCTATGTAGAATACCGCCAGTGCTCAGAGCGGTCTCGTTTGCAATGGTTCCATCTGTGAAACCTGTGTCGGCTCTATATATATTTTACAGTATATATCACATTATATATATATATATATATATGTATATTTCATATACTATGTACTAAATAATAAAATATATGAGACATAAATTGTCATGTATAATGTACGAAATGGAATACGGAGGCTTCCCCTTAAAGCGGAAAAGTCTCCGCACCTCCGCCCATTTGGTCCGCGGAGTCTCATCGGCGGGTTCAGCGGGCAGGGATTTAAAACCTCGGACCGCTCAAGTTGGAGACCTAAACCGAAAGCGGTTCGAAGTCAAAATCAGATTGGACATGGACTCACGAATCGGGACAGCCGACCGCATGCCTTTCGGAAAGCAGCCTCCCCGCCTAGATGTCGGCCAGCAAACGGCTCAAGTGCCGCCACAAGCAAATCTGAACAAACATCAACTAGATATTCGCGGCTACGCCCGAGAGGCTAGAGGGCAGGATGCCCTATCTAGATAACGGCTCAGTTGTTCTGCATCGCACCTGAGTTGTAGGTGGCCTGTTGTAGCAACCGTCTCCATTGCTGGAAAGAGTTGCAGCCAGTTCAACATCAGTTCAACCATTTCTCTACACACCTCCAGATTGGATTGAAAGCGCTCTTAACCCAAGCCGACTCGAATTCAGCTCTCTCGACTCGAATTCAGCTCTCTCTCTGTCTCTCTGTCTGTCTCTGTCTGTCTGTCTGTCTGTCTGTCTGTCTGTCTGTCTGTCTGTCTGTCTGTCTGTCTGTCTGTCTGTCTGTCTGTCTGTCTGGTCTGTCTGGTCTGTCTGTCTGTCTGTCTGTCTGTCTGTCTGTCTGTCTGTCTGTCTCTCTCTCTCTCTCTCTCTCTCTCTCTCTCCAGGTTGAGCAGCTTCGGCAGCACTGGGAGACTGTCCGGAAGGACAAGGGCAGGGAGGAAGCCGTCCTCCAGTCGCCGGCTGTGCCCTCCTGGCTACATTCTTGGAGCGTCGGGGGCCTTCAGATCTTGGGGCAGACTGCCGCTGGCACCGGCCAAGGGTTCTTAAATGTTCTTAAGAAGAGGCCTCTTGCTCCGGGTACTCCTCAGTGCCTAGATTAAAGGTTTTCGATTTTCTGAAACACTTCTGCCAGGTAGCCGGAACTCTTCGAGCCTGGGTTTCACGACACGAGAGTGTTCAAGACCGGTCGCATCCGGTCGATGGTCTTCTGTGAAAAAAAGCATTGAAGCTGCATTCATGGTGGTGCACGATTCAGTAAGATTTGCCCTGCAGCTCATCACAAGCATTGCATCTATGCCCGACATGCACCGACGTCCCTTCCCTGACGATGCCTAATTTGAAACCGGCGGCGGTGCTGTCGCCCATACTTGCAAGGGCACCACCGCTGCATCGTCTGAAGCGTGTATGCGTGGGTGTGCTAGTGGTGGGATTCTCGCTTCACCGCACCCTACGCTGTAGTATGGGCATTCTAATTAATCACTATTCTCTCGAGGTTTGATCGTTATGAATTCGACGGCGTGCTGCATCTGTGAACTGCGTGGTATGTGTTCGCGGTAAGGCAAGAGTAGTGATGCCGAATGCCACAAGGATGGCCGAGCACACCAGCATAACAGACAGCAAATCATTGTGTTGACAGCAGTATTTAGTCGGTAGCTACATCGAGCATGACGTTGATGCTATTGCTGCTGCTACCACCAGTATTACTACCGCACTACCACATTACCGCACCACCACAATACCAGCTATACGAGTGCCACTGCCACTACACCCCGCAGCGCCATCACCGGCAGGAGCAGCCACCACCACCACCACCACCACAACCACCACCACCACCACCACACCACCACCACCACCACCACCACCGCCACCGCCACCGCCACCGCCACCGCCACCGCCACCGCCACCGCCACCCCCACCCCCACCGCCACCGCCACCGCCACCGCCACCGCACCCGCCACCGCCACCGCCACAGCCACCGCCACCGCCACCCCCACCACCACCCCCACCACCACCACCACCACCACCACCACCACCACCACCACCACCACCACCACCACCACCACCACCACCACCACCACCACAACGTGACGACTATACTCCTTCTACTCCTGCGGCTTCAGTTGATACCAGTGTTGCAATTTCCATGACTACTGCTACACCTGCACTGATGATGATTGCACTGACAATGATCTTAATTTTGGTGATGGCCAAGATGACATAGTGGTGGCGATGGCAAGGATCTCTTCATGTACCTTCAAACCAATCTTGGATAGATCCAAGAGCTTCCGTACTGACATCCATGATAGCTGCGGACAGAAACCTCTGTAGAGTCAACACCTTGGTCGTGGCTTGAGCTAATGACTCCGGGAACTCCTGCAACCTCTGTTGGTCGTAGCTGTGCGGCATTCACGAGCTGAAATGGGACGACAGTGCCCAGTCGCCCGGCCCTGATGGATCAAGTGTCCCAGCGTGATTGGCTCAGCAGCACTTCGACACGGACCCTTTCAGGGCGCATGCCCATTGTTCCCTAAATCACGAGGAGTATGTGTGGGGAAAAAGGGCACTATGATTTAGCACAGCCCAACCCCTTGAGTGTATAATAATAGCTGGTTTAGGGTCAATCCGTACTTTTTCACTTTCGATGTCCTCGAATCGCGATGCAACCTTTCAACCGTGAGTCTGCTGCTAAGTCTGTGCTGGATCCATGCAGAGAAGTTGGTGGAGTGTCGCAGGCAGCGCTTTTTGCAGACCGGTTCTAAAGTAAAGCGTGTGAGCACATTCAGGGTTTCTTATGGGGGCCTGAATGGTAGATACTATAGTGCCCTGGAGGATACGTGAGCAGGTCTCGTAGCCAATGCCAGCATGTTGAACTGGGTTTGCAAGTTGGCGGCCCCAATGTTTGCCAGCCAGTGACTGGCCTGTGTTGCTACTTTCTTTGGACAAGCCAAGGAGCTCCTTTAAGAAGGGCTGGAAAGGAACTGCTAGAGGTCTGGTGTATGTGGGTGGGTAAGTTCTGGAGCTAGGTCATTTAATTGGATTTGAAGAGTACGTTGGGCATGATTTCTTCGGCTTGAAGCATCTTCTGTTTCCGAGTCTGGTTCGAGGGTCTCGCTTGCAGCGCATTGAATCTCTGGTCCTACTGCACCTTGCCATGGCTCGCACATGGATCAAACTGTGGGCGCTATCTCTGCTACACTGCGCTCGGAGTCAGACGGAATGCATGGGCGAATGCGACGCTCATGGCATGGTCCAGTTAAAGCTAGAGCCAGCTTCCAGGAATGCAACAACAGCCGCTGCCGCTGGGTTGCCGTTAAGGACTCCGTTCAGCTACCATAATGGGGAGATATAGCCATTAATAGCTATAGTTAGTTAGTAATATTATGAATGGTTCCTCCTTTTGCTGGCTATGTAAATGGAATTCCCATTAATTGCGAGTTAAGATAGTTCACTTCTTTCGTGCGACTTCAATTTGGAATTCCCTATATGGGAGTTTCCGAAAATAAGGGACCCTAAACCCCATAATAATGTACCCCCAATTTTCGGAAACTCCCATATTATAAACAGCAACACAGGCAAACGAGTCGACCTCACCGGCGCCAACTTCAACCACTGAGACGCCAAGTCCTCATCGCAACGCGTCGGCCACGCCCGAGCACGATATGGCAACTGCCCCGCCAACTAAGGAGCCACCAGCTCTGCAGGCGGGTGTGGGCTTCGTGAAGGTGGTTTTGGCGTTCCTTCCAGTGGGACACATATAGGTTCTGTAGGGTTTCTGTGCTGGAGTACAGGGCGGATATCGGAGAGAATTTCTGTTTAAGGCTTTATCAAGTTGGGCGAGTTGTATCAGAGCGGTGACCGCATGTTCGGGGAATAGAACAGACTGGGGCGGTCATGTTGAGAAGAAAGGTGAGCATCAGCACCTTCCATTGGGAACCGCACTGGCAATGTGCCGAGGCAGATTCTGCCTGCACCGCTGCAGCCCTTAGAAGATTCGAAGAGTTAGTGGAGGAGTCAGGGGCAGATATTGTGGGAGCTTTGGAGCTGAAAGGCGCATCAACATCTCTCTCCGGGTGGTCGTCTTCACACGAGTATGAAGATGATGTTTCCGTCATGGTTGCACCTGGATGGCAGGTTTTGAAAGAGGGTGGTGGCAACATATGCTGCGACGGTCAACGGGGCTTGGCTGTGTTGCTGGTCAAGCCGCCAAATCCAGTGTCCAACTGCGAAACGCTTTGCGTGATGGCTGTGCACCCTGGTCATCAGCCCATCCAGAGTGGGCAGTCCATTGTCGAAAGCGTGTGTGGTGATGCACGGGTCTCTTGCGCCATTGCAGTAGGAGACTGGAACGTGGACGCTGCCGGCGTAACGGGTGGATCTTTTGATAGTTGGCACCGGCTTGTCGGAGGAAACCCGCCATCGTTTGTGGTGCCAGACACGGAAACTTGCTGCCACCCCAGCACATGCTGCAAGTTCGACCATGCGGTCACCAACATTTTCGGGGCAGAAGTGGTGAAATTTCAAGTTTGGGGGTATCAGTTGACGGACGAGTTCAGCATGCGAGAGGAACACATGCCTGTTTCTGTGCACTTCACCGTGCCCGGGGACGTTGCGCTGACCAGTTAGGAGGGCATCGGTACAATTTCGGGCCCGTCGTCGTATCACAGATTTTCTGATCCCCATTGTGACAACCCTCAAGAATATTGGGAGCCCACCCCACCTAGAAAGTATCTCTCTGGTTTAGTGTCCCGCTCTTTTGACTGATGTGCATGTACTACATACTCGTCAAGTGCTGAAGGCTATACTTTGTGTTTTTTTTGCGACCTGTCATTTGAACGTCTTGCCTTATATGGGGGGTATTTACAATACGGATCCTACGACTCAGAGTACTATATTAGGGTCCCCAATTTTCGGAAACTCCCATATACGCCGTATTGCCAGAAGACCCGAGACCGGCTCAGCAAAGCATCCGGCTTCTCATGCATCCGGGTGTTTCTGAAACTTTCCCCCAGCTAATCCGTAAAGGTCGTGCCGGAGTCGTGCCTTATGGTCCTCTTAGATGCCCGATGGATCCATAAAGGTACACTAAACGAAAAACCGCCAAACCCCTCACCCTAAACCCCAGAAACATGTTGTGAAACTCCTGTCACTGTCTGGCACACGTCCAGTCCGTTTTCGAGTTCTGGGCTGCACAGTGAGTCCATCGATTTCCTAGAAAGAGGAATCGAGCACAGCCCCGGCGAAAAGGTCGCTAAAGCAGGGTTTTGATAGCAGTAAGATCAAAGGCCTCAACAAGTTCGGAACCTTACAGGAGGGAATGCTAGTTGCACCTCTATCGAACCTTCTATCATCCCTATATTAGGATGTTTAAACCTAAACCCTATAACCCCCATATGGCCTGCATCTAGCCTTGTTACGAGGCTCCTCTCAATGGCCAGCCTTGCTGCTTGCAAAAAGGAGGGGTGTGCCATGAGCTTTTATCATGGGTCTGCTGTTTAGGGACCTTGCAGGGGGCAGAGATGGGGGGTGAAACATGTTGGTACACGCCTCTTTACACCTCCAGATGAAATTCAAGCTTAAACCCTTTGCTCTTAACCCAGGCCGACTCGAATTCAGCTCACTCTCTCTCTCTCTCTCTCTGTCTCTCTCTCTCTCTCTCTCTCTCTCTCTCTCTCTCCAGGTTGAGCAGCTTCGGCAGCACTGGGAGACTGTCCGGAAGGACAAGGGCAGGGAGGAAGCCGGCCTCCAGTCGCCGGCTGTGCCCTCCTGGCTACATTTTGGGAGCGTCGGGGGCCTTCAGATCTTGGGGCAGACTGCCGCTGGCACCGGCCAAGGGTTCTTAAATGTTCTTAAGAAGAGGCCTCTTGCTCCGGGTACTTTTCAGTGCCTAGGTTAAAGGTTTTTGATTTTCTGAAACACTTCTGCCAGGTAGACGGAACTCGTGGAGCCTCGCTTTCACGACACAAGAGTGTCCAAGACCGGTCGCATCCGGTCGCTGGTCTTCTGCGAAAAAGGTTCACATTTTGGGTGCCACTCTTGTAGTAAGCTATTCACATCACCTGGTGCGCGTGCATATTACGTGTCTTGCGACAAACCTCGGGGCATTGAAGCTGCATTCATGGTGGTGCACGATTCAGTAAGATTTGCCCTGCAGCTTATCATTTGCATCTAAGTATGCCCGACATTGACGCTGCCCTGCATAGCATAACCGAACATAATTCCTGCGATGCCTTGTTTGAAACCAGCGGCAGCGCAGTCGGACATACTTGTGCACCCGCCAACAGGTAGTCTGAAGCGGTGTATGTGCGCCTCTTATCGGCCTGGTGGTGGTGGGGCGGCTTCTCGCGGTGTGCTGGCACGTAGCAAAGGTCTGCCTTGTGTTCGTGGGAAGGCAAGAGCAGTGACGTTGAATGCCACAAGGATTGCCGAGCAACCAGTATACTGATAGCAAGCCATGATAGTTTCTGGTGATGACAGCAGTAGCCGGTATTTAGCTACCTCGAGCGTGACGTCACTGCTACTAGCGCTGCTGCCACTACCTGGCCAATTCCAGGGCCCATGCCAACACCAGCAGCACCGCCACCGCCGCCGCCGCCACCACCGCCAGCACGAACCGCCAGCACGACGACGACTTCTGCTGCTACGACGACGACTGTGATGGCCAGGATGAGGATGATGACAATAGGAAGAAAATTGTGAGGATGCTGATGATGCTGTTGGTGACGACGATAAAGGCAATGATTATGGTGATGTCGATGATGATGGTGCTGCTGCTGCTGCTGCTGCTGCTGCTGCTGCTGACGATGACGATTACTGTATGATGACGATGGCGGTGCAGAAGCGTTTGTAGAGTCAACGTCGTGGTCGTGAATTGACCTCTTGTCATGATTCCGGGAACTATTGGTCGTATCACTAGATGGAAATGGACGACACAACAGGAGGTGCGAAGAGCTGTTGAACTTCAGGTGTCGCAGCGTGATTGGTTCAGCAGCACTTCGACTCAGACCCTCCGGGGCGCAAACCTGCGCCAACCCGATGGTCTGCGCGTATGGACCCAGCACTGCAGAGGTGGCCACGCTGCTAGCAACGTTACATCAGCAGCAGATCGCAGCCCTTGGGCCTCAGACTCAGACCCATTCCGATTTTTCTGTCCCGGCTTTCTCCAAGAGCGCCCTGTCAGACCCAGGTCGCTGCCGATTCGGCCAGCGCCCGCTCTCGCGCCGCATATGCAGGCATAGTGTGGCAAGACAGCAGGGACTCCACTCTTCTTGCGCGGCCTGGTCTCAGGACCCCGTGTCAGTGTCAGTCAATCAGATAGCAGCTGGCGCCCGCTCCTCAATCTTCTTTGCGCAGTGCTCTCATGGACGTCTACAGCAATCTTCGTCGATTGAGATCCTCTGCAAAACTCATGAAAATCTCTATGATTTGTATGCATCTATATACATGTGTCTGTATATGTGTATTATGTATATGTACATGTGCATGTATATGTATGCAACCCCCGGCCCCCTTCTGAATCCGCGCATCTAGTATTTGTGGTTCCGTTTCGTTTCTTGCGTTGCTGGAACGGAAACTGAAGCCTCAGAGATTCCATCTGTATTTTTCTCGACAGCACGCAGCATCCATGAGCACGACAACGGAATACTGTCTTTCGACCTTCCGCAACATTGGAACAGAATAAAGCCTGAGAGTCTGAGAGCATTGCCGCCAGCTTTCTTCTCGGCAGCACTCACTCACCTACGAACACGATGACGAGTTCGTATTATCCTGGAAATACATATTAGAGCAGAAATAATGTACACTAAACTTGCGGCTCCAAACCATCAGCCCTGAACTAGAACCTGTAAATATTCCGAGCGGCACAGAAAGCACAGAGGCAACAATTACCAGTATACTACCTGCTACTTAAGAACCGAATAGTAATTGCGATGCATGTGGTATGGCGTTTGTTAGACGTATTATGAAGTTAGGTTGGTCTTCATCCTGACTACTGCTCATCGAGTACTCACGTGAAGCTTGCGATTATGAGTTACCAATGCCTGTTCTTAGATTAAAGCAATAGTAGTTATTGCTCCTGTTCTCGTTTAAGATGAAGTTGATATCGGATCAACATGTGTTGAGCATACCGTAGTGTTTGATTGCCTCACATGTGAACCTGCTCACTACACGAACTGTAACATATTCACGAATGTTCAGCAGCAAAAAAGTCTTTTATTGATGTCTAGATACACGCGACGATGCAGTTTTTCATGTCTGCAAACACAGAATGCCAAGTATTAAAGCAAGCGGGTTAACTTGAATTAAGTGTTTCAGTTAACACTCAGCGACATTGCACAAGCATGTCAGCATGTTCTTGTGACCCGAACATTCACAAAACTACGTTTATTGCTGGGTGGAGTTTATGGTAATGGCATGCTGTTTAAGTAACACGAAATGAGTAAATTCCTCGAGACAATCCCAAAACCCAAAGATTCAGAGTTCTTCCCAAGGACTTTTCTCGCGACAGTCCAAAAAACAACAAATTACCAAAGCCCATCGGCCATGAAACGAGCATATTCCTCGAGACAGTCCCAAAAGACACAAAAATACCGACGATTTCGGAACCTCTCGCAAATCTGGAGTGAGCATATGTTTCGAGACAGTCCCATCAAAACAAAAAACACCAAAGCATGTAGGCCACGAAATGGGCGCATTCCTCGAGACAGTGCCACAAAAGCACAATATCCAAAGATTCAGAGCCGTTCCAAAGGCCGTTTCTCGAAACAGCCATTGGAATCGTCGTTTTTGTTTTGGTTTTGTGGTACTGTCCCGAAGAATATGCTCATGTTTTGGACTGTGGGCTTTGGTATTTTGGTTTTTTGAGGAGAAATATGCTCAGTTCAGATTTCGGAGAGGTTCCGAAAGGGTTTTTATGACTGTCTCGAGGAATCTGCTAATGTTTTGGCTTATGGGTTTTGGTAGTTTTGTTGTTTTTGGTTTGTCTCGCGAAATATACTCGCTTCTGATTCCGAAGTCTTTGGTATATGTTTGGGGTGAACTGTCTCGAGGAAGATGCTCATTTCACTGCCGTTGGGTTTGGTATTAGTGTTTTTGTGTTTTTTTCCCTGGGATTGATTGTTTCGAGAAATATGTTCATTTGAGATTTTCGAGAGGTTCCGAAATCGTTGGTATGTTAGGTTTGTTCGGGACTGTCTCGAGGAACATGCTCATGATTTGGCCTCTGGGTGTCTCGAGGAGAAAGATGGTTCTTCTTGTTTAACTGATTGCGTGCGCTGGTTCCGGATGTATGTCTGTCTTCCGCAGCATGCAAAGATACAAGTATGTCACCACGTACATTCGTATGTGCCTGTGCATTGCACATGTACGCAGATACGACATAAGCGTGCACACTAGGACTATACCGACATACTAGACATACGCAGACTAAGGGTGTGGATTCCGATGGGGGGAACCACATACATATATATATATATATATATATATGTACGTATGTAGGTAGGTAGGCAGGTGGGTAGGCAGGCAAAGGTATTTATGTATATGTATATGTGCATAGTGCCCTAAATCCTTAAAGGCCCTTAACCCCTGTAATCGACGCAATAATACCAACGCTAAACCAGTAAACCTGTTCATCCCTGAACCCCGAAACTGAGGCTGACTGCCAGTGGCGTGTCAATGAGGTGGCTTATGCTCCTGGGCTTGGCAGGTACCGCAAGAGCGTGAGTAAGAAGCATTGCGAGCTGGAGGATCTAGGTTGACGAGGGCCTGGATACAGCACTTCCGGTTTCAGAGCCCTTCTTGAGGGGCGGTTCTTGATCAGTTTCCTCCATTTTCACTGCAACTGCGCGGCTGAAACTTGAAGCTGGAAGACTAGGTCGCAACTGGCAAGGAGGAAGCAGAGAAGACGGAGGTGGGAGCTGTGGTGGTAAGGATTTAGGGAATTTTGGGTTGCGGGACCTCATACATCGGGAATTAGATTACCATCATTGCATGTAAACGACAGTCTCGTAAGAAATGGATGTACAGCGGGAGCATGATTCTGAAAGGAAGCATCTGTTCGACTGTGTGGGCGGTGTGAGAGAGACTGTGTGTGTGTGTGTGTGTGTGTGTGTGTGTGTGTGTGCAAGTGTTAGGGGCCTGGCAACAGTACCGGTCTTGAGAAAATAGTTTGCTGGGGTACCCTTGTTCTGTTCTGCACCACATGCACCCCAGTCAGGTGCAGAAAACGAGACGGGTGTGTGACTCAAGGTCTCGTCAGGGAGACATAAGAACGATCAGAACAACACGGGCTAGTAGAGTGCGAATGCTGGCTGCACTGAGGCACCGGTAACATCTTCAGTAGGCTGCGGAATGCCCTCAACACTAAAACACGCCATAGGCAGAGCCACCAGAGTCCGCATGAAAGAGCTCCAGTCCAGGCTTTACATACCGAAAAGCCATGTCAGAAGCACCCTTATGTCCAGCACCTGCCCATGAGTCCGAATGCTCGCCGCAATCTAGCACGAGCAGGATCGGCACCCCAGAACACGCACGGCACTGTGGCCAGAGCGCAACTTCGCGAGGCTGAAACGCACGTGACTGACCCGGAGATTCGAAGCGCATGCAAATGTGGAAGAGCGAACCCCTGTAGAAGGGCAGGATTTGCAGACCACAGCGAGCCACGAGGATCGTGTGGCAGGAGCAGGATTTCCAATCAACACACGGTCTGGTGGCGGAAGCCCGACAGTCCATGTCCCGGCAAACGTGGCTGGCTTGGGGCACCTGCACTACAGCCGCAGCCACGAACCCTCTATGTCTAGAGATTGTTTGGGGAACGAACATGACTGGACGTTACTCGTATAGGGATTTCCGACATCGCCTAAAGGCCAGGGCAAAGGCAATGGCCCACGAAGCCCCGGATCCGCGATTCTTAGGCCTGCACCCTTTCTCAATCCTGATCCATTAACTCCGAGTCCTAAACCTTGTAACCCTACAAGTCAAAAACCGTTAATCTATAAACTTAGAACCCCCGATGACCCAAAACCCGCACAGCCCTGTCAGAGGTCCCTGCGTGCAACGTGCCTTCGCTCGTTCGCTTGGCCGGCAAGGGGAACTTGGAAGCTGTCGGCACCTGAGTTGAGGGTGGAATGCATAATAAGTTAGATCATACATTACATTAAGCATTGTAGTATATTCGGTGATAGTATATTGTATTATCATGTATCACGTATAAGTTTATTCTATAGTTGCTCTGCTCTATGCGGAATTGAGGGCTCGCGGCTTGGATCTTTCCACTTTCGGGTTCTGGGTTTGGGATTTTGGGTCTTGGGGTTTAAGATTTAGGGTTCAGGGGTTAGGGTTTCAGGTTTCGGAGTTCCGAGTCCCTTGCCTGCGAGTGAAAAAGACGACCCGGAACGCCTTGCATTGTTTCCGACAAGTCCTAAGCGAGTGTACGGATGCAGTATAACAGTCCAAAAGCAAAATGTTAAAGACCCCTGTTTCAGAATTCAGGTTTGGAGAGGGTTTGGGATGTAGAGGGACTGTGGAAGATCTCTAAGCGAGGGGTGTGTCGATGCTTTCGCTACCTTTTGGGTCGGCTGGCGGTTGCAACTCAAACGAGGTCCGAGATCTGCTCGATGGTGGTGAGGACGGTGGGTTCCGTCTTTGGAACATTATCACAGCAGGATTTGAAGTGTAGGGCTTGATTCGAGGGTTTATCTATAGATGTTTAGGGCACAGTATGCTCAAACTCCTACCAGTCTCGGCACACCCAGGGATCTTCTACACCTAATCGTGAGCCCTGGCGGCAAAACCCGCAGGACCCGGACATTATGGATGACTTGGGGCTAACGGCCCTGCATGCAGCTGCGAAGAAGGGCCACAACAAGGCATCCAGCTCCATCACAGCTGTTCCATACGAAGCATCCAAAATCGCGGCGTGGCATCGGAAGCTTCCTAAACTTATCTGAGTACGACGTTCGGTAGAAGCAGCTGAGCCTGAGGGTCGGAGCTTGGAGTTGGGGTGGCTTCAGAAGACTAATATAGGGGCCTTGACAATTAGACTAGGGTCTTGGGGGCCCTTATACTATAATTGTAATAAGGAGCCCCCAGAATAGAATGGGTAATTATTAAGGCCCTTACATTAGGGGTCCAATCGTTTGGGATTCGGTGTTCAAGGTTTCGGGGATGATGCAGCCTTGGCGCAGATCGTCGCGCTGCTGATTGCGAGGGGTGCTCGAGTGAATCCCTGTGCAGCAAAATGGAAAGGCCCGAAGCTGGGTGTAGGGTTTGGGCTCAGTTCCCAACGGTTTGGGGTTTAGGGCTTGCGATTTCGGGATCAGGGTTTGGTGCGTCACGCCTCAGGGGATAAAAGAAGAATGGCAACGATAGCAATTCGGTGTCCTGTACCATGTGGCAGCAGGTTAACGTCGTTTGCAGTGACGGTCGCCATCCCAATCCGGACCCATCTCATAGGGCCAAGGCTATGAGCACAACTGTTGTATAGTCGACGAGTTGCTGTAGGCAGCAATAATGACAGCAATTGCAGCAGAACCAGAGTAGACAAAGGCAAGAACGCGCTAGAACTAGAGTTCTGCAAGAAGCACGGTCGCACCTCCACCGACCACCACCACCACCACCACCACCACCACCACCACCACCACCACCACCACCATCGTCAACTACCGACGAGTGATATGGGTGGGGTAGCTATATTGCTATACACTGACAGGTTTAATGGACTTGGAAGTTGCAGGAAAGATGAATTTGCCAGACCCAACTGCTGATGGGGCCTTTGTCTTGTCGATGTGGAAGCACAGGTCCACCCACAGCAGCATTAAACGGAAAGCATGCACGTGTCCAACAATGTCGATGGCTCCCGTAACCCCCCTTTCAGTCAAATCTCCAGGTTCTGCTCGTCGGTAATGGAAGTATGCTTACTTCGTTGCTGTTGTCGTGACTTGCTGTAATGCGGTTGTGATTTATGCCTGTGACCACTACTATACCTGCCTTCACCTTGTTATCGCTCTGCTTTTTCTGTTGTTCGTGTTGCGTGTTTTCCCAATGCTGGGCTGCTTGGGCTTCTGCTTCTGCTACATTCTATATATATATATATATATTCAATTCAGCTGCTCTGTGTCCACTTTGTGCTGACTGAGCCAGGGGAGACGCCTTTACACTACGCTTGCAAGTCAGCCTCTCAGGCTGTGACGGGTGTCAGACCTGTGAGGAACGAGGAGCACGCTGGAGTCAAGTCTACCTGTATCAGTATTAGTGGCACTATTGGTAAGGGTCGTATTATTGGCATTCTTAATATTATTCGTATTTATTTCAGTTTTAGTCTTGAGGCTTCAGGAATTTTTGATAGTCCTGGCTTTAAGGTTTCGGGTCTGTTAGCTCCTATCGTTGACATGAGCAGCAGTCGCCCTGTCCCCTTCCCCACTTCACGATGTTTCATGGTTGCCAAGGTATGGACACGCCAAGACTCTGCAGATGCTACTGTCGCCTTCTACTCAGCATCCTGAGTCCAGTATAGGTGCCTGAAACATTGGGAATTTTACTCTTGGGGTATGCCCCCTACACTTCAAGAGTAAAGAGATCCCCGCCAGAACCCTTACTCTACTTATCTATATCATATCCAACCTTCAGGAAGACTAGCACTCCACTCATGGAACCTGCAATGCCAAGCTAACCTGTTCATTTCGAATCCTTGAGAGACACTCTTCGAGAATATCATGAACATAAATCTTGACCCGTATCCTAGTGATGGTATTGGCCAGGTGTCAACAACACACGCTGCTTATGAAAGCCGTGCGTATCAAGCGCAGAAGATCCTGTTTGCGGAGATTCCCAAGTTGCTGCCAGGGGATCACCCGATTTCCAAGGTTTGGCTTAAGGACATGCCTCGAAAAGCATTGACAACAACGATCGCCGAAGTACTAGTCATAACAATAGTACTCGCAATGCTGGCCTCAGCGACTCAATTCTTAACCTTTGAACTCTGAACCCGGAAGCGAAGTTCTGTTCGGTCGCTGCATGTTCCCCGTTCCGTGCTAGGTTTGGAGCTGACCCATCCGTACTGACACAGGACAGCTCCGCGGAGCACGTAGAGCTGGTTGAGGATTCAGGGTTCAGGCAGAGTTCTAGTTGTCTTCCTCGTTGATCTTGTCTGTTCCATAGGGGTTTAGGGCCTAGGGATTAGGGTTGTGTTTAGGATTTTAGGCGCCCTGTATAAGGATTTCAACAGGACCTCAGGGTAGTAGTATGCGACAAGGATACAAGAACTGACCCGCCTGGCCCATGCTACAGACTAGAGAATGCTTGAGGGCTTCAAAGGTTGAGATGTTTTTTGGGCTCTGGAGTTTAGCGCTTGGGTTTAAGGTGTAGGGCTTGGGATTCGGGGTTTCATGCCTTCAGGTGCATGAGAATCCGTAGAAGCAAGCATGGCAGGAGAAGCGGTAACCACATCTACGAAACGAAGTACCAACACCTCAAGCTGTGTGTTCCCACGACTCCAGAGTCTCTAGAGTCTAGAGGCCTCAAGCCCTTTCTACGAGAACCATCTCTGAATCAGATCGAACACCCATCCAGACCCTAAGCCCTAAACCCAAAAGCTTTTTTGGAAGGAGGGCCGATCCTGTCTTGACCTGGCGAAGGCCACCAGCTCTGCCGGATTGGGGTTTAGCATTTACGGCTTTTTCGGGGGGGGGGGGGGGGGGTTGATTTGTTTCTGTTGTTTGGGTCGTGCCGGGTGTAGTAGTCTTGTGGATCGAACTGGGGTTTGGGGTTTCTGGGTCTGGGGATGTGCATTGTTGTAGGATTCAGGGGTTAAGGGGGCTCTACAGTGTCGGGTTTGGTGTATCAAGATGATGGCTGCAAAACGCCGGCATACCTTGCTCTTCAATCTCTTCCTCAATCTTGTCTTTTCTTCGATGCTTCCTCAGAAGAGCAGAAAGGGAAAAGGAAGCCTTCTCTTGTCAATGAAAGAGCGTGGCAGAAACGCCCTCTTTCCCGCTATCTTTCCTTTCTCGGTTTACTCCTTCGTGGGAGTTTAGGATCCGGCTCCTATGGGTTCGGGCGTTGTCCTTTGAACGGAGCGGGCTCAATGTTGTACCAGCGTTTGAACTGCAGGTTTGCGGTGTTTCGATTGTGAGGGGGTTTCGCGAAGCAATGGAGATGGTAGATATGGCGTCAAAAAGAAGAGTAATACGATCCTATATAGGCCTCATACAATGCAGTGTTATTTGCTCCAGCCCTCTTTGGATGTGGTGTCATGGGGGTTGTCGTGCACGCAGTGGGGTGTGTCACGTTTCGGACGTTTCACTCAAAGTCACTAGATCCCACAAGTGTACATTGAGTGCCCTGTAGCAGCCACAAGCCTTCTTTCGAAAGACCAATTCGCCAGCTTGGCCTGTGGCCAAAAGTAAACTGCCGCGGCTATGTTCTTTCATGTTAGAACTGGGGGGTTGAGCTTCCTGGCCACGACGACAAAGTCTTGAAGCGTAGGCTTGTCCGAAACCGTTCCTACAAAAAACTGTCTCCGTCATCGAAAGCCAGCCCTGCAAGATGTGGCTGTTCCACCGATGGGTTGCCTTCCGATTTGCTTGCTCCATTAATCTTCCGACTGTTCCAAACTATGGTGTTTTTTGTCCAGCTGTCCTGCAAGGAAAAGAAGCACATGAACTGCCTTGAGCTGCTGAGCAATGCTGCAGGCCACTGTGAGGGTTATCAACTTCGGTGATGGTTTTACTGCTAGCACTTTTCAGCATGAAGCACATGACACGGTTTCTTCGGAACAGTCTGCATGCTTGAGCCATTGGCAAGAGCAAACTCAAAGAAGAGCAGCCACAGATGCAAGTTGGATCCCAAACACAAGACAAGCAACAGAAAGAACTCCAGCCACATTTCCATGGCAGCAGTGGCCGGAGGACGAAGCTGTCAGCAAAGTAGCAACAATTCCGAATGCCCGTGGTCTTGCTCTTCCGGTTGTTGATGCCGCAGCTTGTTTGTAGTGCTGGGCCCTCGTCTCTTCTGATAGCCTCTCGGTGCTCGTTTGAGATGGTCTTCGAGTTGACTGCAACTGTATCAGGCAGGTTGGCGGAGGGTTCTTTTGTTCAGAAGGAGGTCCTTGACCGAGAAAGCCCCGCCAATGAACCGAGTTTGAATGGATGCCACTTCGACATGCTTTCCCGCACCCGTCTCTTTCATTTGGGTCCATTTGAGTCTCAGGGCCCTTTGGATGCCTAGTCCCTAGATCAAATGCCTAAATCCGGAACCTGACACACAACTTGCAATGCACAGGCCAGTCCGTCACCGTGCGTGTCTAGGCTCATGCGGCCAAGGCACGTGCCGGGGGAAATGATCTCCGACGCAGATACAGGAATGCGATTTCGCGAAGGTTGCCTTTCAATCTTTGGAAGCTAGAAAGGACTGCACCGGCTCAAATCCAGCACCACCGACCGCCACCTACCAACGCCACTACCACTGCTGCTGGTATTCACTACTGCGACGATGGCTACTAAGTTGATACAAGTGTAATGGTAATGGTGGATAGACCGTGATGGTGCTCCTGCTGGAAGTAATTGGTATGATCAACGGTTGTATTTACTTGTAGTTGGTAGTATTAGTAACGTTCGTATTGGTGAGAGCTTTGGTGCACCATTGCTTTTATGATGATTGGAATTACCAGCAACATGCATATTAGTTGCGATTATTCCTCTCATTGCTTGTACTTGCTTGCTCTTGCTCTTGCGTGTGTGTGTGTGTGTATGTGTGTGTGTGTGTGTTTGTGTGTTTGTGTGTTTGTGTGTGTCTGTGTTTTTTTGTATGTGTGGTTGCTGTTGTTGTTGTTGTTGTTGTTGTTGTTGTTGTTGTTGTTGCTGTTGCTGTTGTTGTTGTTGCGGCGGTGGTGGTGGTGGTGGTGGTGGTGGTGGTGGTCGTCGTTGGTGTGGTGGTATCATCGCTTGTTTGTTCTGGTGGTGCTACGATGTTGGTGTTGTTACTGTCATGGTTAGGTGTTTAATGATTGCACACATTCTTCTGATAGCGGTTTTTTAGGATCACTATGGTTAGTTCAAAGTCTGCTGTTTGCGCAATGATGATTATGCAAGAGGTGAATAACGTTTACTGTTGCACTGCCTTGTCTTATGATTATTCGCATGGTGTTCTTGTTGCTGTCACCGATAGGAGCACGATGATTGCGATTATTGTTGAGCTAAAAGTAACTTTAACTGTGGTTTTCAATATGCTCGCACGAGCAGTTGACCTTTGCATTGCACCTGCGCTATCCCTGTTATGATGATCACTGTTCTTACAGCCAAGTTTAGCAGTAAACCCTAGACCCAAAACCGTAAACCCTAAACTCTGAAGCCTAAACCCCTAAACCCTTCGACCCCTAAACCCCTAACCCCTAAACCCCTGAAACCTAAACCCTGAACCCTAAACCCTAAACCCTAACCCTGAAGCCTAGTACTTTAACACCTTAATACCCGATCGCCGTCCTGTCCTGATCACCGGTGGTCTTCGCTCCTCAGGTGGCCAGTGCTTTGCCAGGAGATCCGAGGCCCGGATTCTGATCCCCGCTTCCATAGTATAGTAGATCATTATTTTACATTATAGTATATTATTATATGATTATTGTTGTTATGATTGCTATTAAAATTAATTATGAATATATTCTAGTAGATCATGATTATGCATTTTGGTATGTTGCAGTACATTATGGTATCTTATGGTTTGGGGTTTCTATAGCCTGAACTTACACCTGATGCCTGGTTGCATGGTTCTGTATCATCGCAGCCATCACATGGGAGTTTCCGAAAATAGGGACCCTGATATAGCACCCTAAATAGTAGGATCCTTATTATAAGGACCCCCAGATAAGGTACCCATGTTTGAGGCAGCAGTGTATATAAAAGGCGATCATGATTATACACCATAGTTATACATTATAGTATATTATTATTGTTGTTATGATTAAGAAATTACGATTATTTCTAATGATTATACAATATAGTATATTATTATTGTTGTTATGACTAAGATCATTACTCATATGAATCATAGCAGTGTGAAAAGGCAGCCTCCTTCCCCAGGGTGGGCTTTGCTGTGGAGCCCGCCGAGTGCAAGTCCCCTTCCTAGCAGGATCGGCCCTGGAGCACCTTATTTTGGGGTCCCTATAATAAGGATCTTACTACCTAGGGTCCTATATTAGGGTCCCCTATTTTCGGAACTCAACACCCCAATCCTCCGCACGAGACACTTTTTCAGCGAATTTTTGTTCAGCACACTCCCGTCCCAATCACTCACAAGGCAAGACTATAGGCCCTTTGCTCATGGGGCAAGGTCTGGCGAGCTGCGAAATAATGCGCTACCAGACCCACGGAACTACGGGCCACGACAGCCGCAGCCCCAAGCGCTCCAGTGCAGCGCCGGAGCTCAGATGTAGCTAGATGTCGTGATGAGGATGAAGTTCCATTTCAGGCTTCCGGGGTTTGTCGGCCTGTGGCTTCCATAGTATAGTAGATCATGATTATACATTATAGTATATTATTATTTTTGCTACAATAGAATAGCGAATTCAGCCTCTCAGTTTCTGGATTCGGTGGGTTTTTGCACACGCAAACTGTGAAGCAAACTCGAGAAGAGCAAACAAGAAGTTGGCACACCGAGGTCAGGGCAGCCTGGATTTCTTATTATCATACGGTCCCTTGTTGTTGGTTGTTTTTGTCGCACGGCTGCCCGAAAGGCTCAAATTTCGGTGCCGGCGATTTCCTACGCTGTGCTGTCGCTCTAGATGGACGCTGCATGGGGACCGATTTGTTGATGCTTCAGCTGTGGGAGCAATCCTTGGCGGGTTGAAGCCCAGACCCTCATACTTCAAGATAGGCCCCATATCATAATAAGTTGTAAGTATAGTCAGTATATCTTCGCAATGACATTGTATCTTCACATGACATGCTGGCACAAGCCCAAGATCCTTTGCTTCACGGCTCTGAATGGTCCAGGCTCCACATATGTATGTCTCCATCATGCATGCAGGCCCCTCAACCTGAAGCCCTCACCCCTTCACCCTTTAGCCCCTGTACTCCTAAAAACGACACCACCTCGAAGGCCTACCGAGCGTTCTTCCTTGCGGTGCTCGGGAGCTGTGAGTGCCTGAATTTGCTCCCGTCACGAATCTCCGCACCGCAGTGCTTCCGAAATCAAGTGTGTTTGCCACGTGCAATTGCTGAAATCTGGAGCTAAAAGGCTTGGCTAATGTAGGGGCCTTAATAATTAGAATAGGGTTTTGGGGCCCATTATACCAGACTTATAATCAGGAGCCCCCAAAATAGTATAGGTGATTAATTTCAGGCCCCTGCATTAATGGTTTAAGGTTAAAGACTTTTGGGACTCCGGCTTTCCAGTGCTTCGGATGCTTTTAGGGCTTACGGTTTGGGGTGCATCTCCTGCCTCGAGTTCGTTGTCAGCGTCAGTCACTTCCATAATGCTTGTTATTGCTAATAACTACTAATATTGCAATCACGATGACAAGTCTCATAATGGCAATTATTCTTGTAATTGTATGTGCGGTTACCGCTGGGTTTGTTGTTACGCGTAGTGTTTTGTTTTTTTGACCTTTCTTGTTGTTGTGGCTGTGCTGATATAAGTTTCACACTTCTTCTTTAGTGTTCTCATTTCAGTGTTATAATTGTCTTTTTTATTTGTGTTTGTTAAAACACATTGTCTATTGACTCATCATGAAGATAGTCTTATGTTAGCTATTGCTCAAAAGCATGGCTATCATGGTTAGTAGTATCAGAATTCGGGCTACTGTTGCTAGTATTGTTATTCATATCATCATGGTTGGTGGTGTTATCATGACTGTGGTTGAGGTCACCTTTATAAATGAATGCTATTGCGCTATTACTTTCATTATTGTTACCACTGCTACTACTTCTTCCACTATTCCTACCAGCACCACCACCACGACGACGACTACTACTGTGTGAAAGTCTTGAAGGGCTTGAGGAGTTCGAACGGGTTCGTCTTCGGTACAACGTGGTTGTCGAAAGGCTCACGGCGCCTTAAAACCAGCTCTCGACCATCAACCCTTCGCACACTCCTATCGAATTTTTCCACGCAAGAACATGTCAGCAAGCTTCTTTACAGTGCCTGCTATGCCAGTGACGGCTGTGCTTCTGCCGATCATGGCTGTGCTTCTGCTGATCATGCCTGTCTTTCTGCCGATCATGGCATGTTTTCCGCTTGAGCATGCGGATCAGCAACGATCATTAACAGCTCCACTGTTAGTCTATACACATGACCGTTCAAACTCAAGGCTGCATGCAGAGGTTTCTTCACCCCTCCTTGGTGGCGACGTCAGTCGCTTCACCATCTCATCGTAACCACTCTGTGCCACGATACTCGGTCTCTTCTCGTTGGCCTCGCACACATTTCTGGCACACGTCGCGTTCCTGAAACCTCGTCGAGGAATTCAAGGTCGAACACGATCTTGAAGCATGAACACACGTCCCCTTAGGCGTCATGTACACTTTCTTGGGGACATCGCCCAAGAGCTCGCACTGCGTTGCTGCTTCCCTTGTCCTCGGAGCTCTTCCGGAACGGTTGACCAGCGAGGGCCGTTCGTTCCATACTGGATCGTCCCAACTTGACATAGGCGCAGCTGAGGGAATCTTCGTGCCCTTTCTCGTAGGTCTTTCTTGAACCGGTTGAGGAGGTGGAGGAGCTGCACATGGTTCCTCCTCCTCTGGCCTCATTCCTGCAGAGCACGTAGGGTCTGCTGCAAAATTGGATGTCCTTCTTGAGCGAGAGGAGGAAACATTCATCCCAACAGCCTCAGATACATCCGAACCACACAGGCCCGCCAGGTGGATCAAATCCACCCGCTCTTCTCGCGACAGCGTCTCCGGATCCCTCTGCAGCAAGGCACTCAACGTCCTCAGCTCGACCTTTGAAAGTCGCTGACGATCTCGCGAGGTCTCGAGGCTTTTCAGCCTTACCGCCTCACTTCTTCCTTTGATCACGCCCTTGCAGCCTTCCCATATTGCAACAGCACATATCACCAGCATTGTAACCAGCACGTACAATTCCCAGGAGCTACTTATCGCAAGGGGCTCCGGAAGCGGGTCAGTTTCGGAAATCCTATGACCCTGTACGCTAGCTATAATCTGAGCTAAAACCAATAAGCCGGTACAGCAACCCAAATTACCCCCGTGGGCTGGTGGTGGTGGCTGTGGTCTTGTGGTCCGTTGCTCTGGCGTTGCTTGGTGTTCTACTGTTGCAAGATGCTGCTGCTCTGCTGTTGTAGGGTGCTGCGGCTGATCTGCTGGAGCTTGAAGGCACCGAACACATTCTTTGGCGTCTTCTCCCCGAGGTAGATCTTCTTTGCGCCCAAGTCCCCACCTTCGCATGAGCATCTCCATTCTTTTTGACGGCAGGATCTTGGTAAGACCATCTGCCAACTGCCACTCTCCCGGGCAATAGGCAATGCGCGCCCATCCCTCTTGGATCCTTTGCCGTAGTGCCGCCGCCCTCACCTTCAGGTGGCGTGTTCGCCAGCTCCCTCCTTCTTCAGAAGCCAGCGTGATCGCTGCCGAGTTGTCGACTCTAACTTCTCTTGATAGAGGGACAATTCCAACGTCCGACAACATAGCATCGATCGAGTAGGTCAGCGTCGCCCCTTCCGACGCCTCAAGCAACTCAGTCTCCGCGCTGCTGGTTGTTACCAGCGACTGCCGGCTGCTTTTCCATGCGACCGGTGACCCTGCCCAAAACACGACTGCACCACCATGGCTCTTTTCCCCATCTGGGGAGTAGCTGCTGTCGGTGTAAGTCACCAAGTCCGGACTGCCCCCAGCGAAGAAACTCAGCTTCCATTGCTTCGTCGTTCAGGTAGGCAAGGGTCTTGCGGCCTATGGTCGCAACTCTCTCTGGGTCTTTCGTCGTCAGGCTACCCATCACGCTCACCGTGTAGGACAGATCTGGCCTGCATCGCTGGGCCAGCCATGCCAGCTCTCCAGTTATCGACTGGGCGGCACGTAGGTGTTCTTGGGTGTACATGGTGGGGTATGCCTCGGGATCCATTGCCATCCACTCCTTGGCCGACGGCAACAGGGACTTCTCAGTGGGGCTCACCGCGTGTTGTCGTAGAAGCTCTTCGATGTACCCCTCCTGGTCCAAGGTGTAGCTTGTGATCTCCCCTTCTTCGTTTGTCTCCTGTCTGATTTCCATTCCTAAAAACCGCACGGAGGTGGAGGACTCGGCATACTGACACGGCGTGACCTCCCAGGTTGCAGCCATCCACTCGTAGGCCTCGTTCGTCACCCATCGTGGTCCCAGGATAAGGAAATCATCAACGTAGACGATCATCAGCCCTATCGTGGTCTCTCCATCTGGGCCTTTGATCTGCCACACGTCAGCGTCGGCTTGTCCTTGGATGAAGGTGAGGCCGCTCTCGGTCTTTGCCTGCTTCATCTTCTGGGTCCTGTGGTCACTCCACCATCAAAGAAGATCTAAAGCCATACAGGGCAGTTTGCACTACCCAAATCTCATCGGCTTCTGCCAAGCCGGCCTTGACCAACGCTATCGGTGGTCGCAGCGCCAACCTCGTTCCATCTGGCACTGGAGCTCTGAGAAATGCGCTGACCACATCCCCAGTGCATGCGCTCCAGCGGTTCCGCGCCGCCTCCGCGATGCCTAGCCGCACTGCTTCTGCCACCGCACCTCCAGAGTAGTTGATCTCGTTGTCGGCCTTCGGCTGGAAGTTTCCGCACGACACGATCCTGGCTTTTCTTCGGAACCTCGTACCTTCCTTTGTCGGAGGTTTCACTGTGAATACGGCTTTGCCCGGAACTATCACAGCTCCTGGCTGAGCCATATAGTCCCGCGCTGCTTTGCCTCGCAATCTTTTGACCGCGCCGATATTCTCCAAAGTGCTGACCTCGGCATTCAAGGCGGGGATCCACTCGGCAATGGCCTCCTCGACCTCCTTCGGGTGGACCGTGTGGACCACCCTCAGATCACCCTCCAGCTCCGCAAGGATCTTCTCGATACCCTTGGTGTAGATGTTTCCCACCGCCGCCTTCGAGCATCTCGTGATGTCCTCGTCCACTTCCACTGGGGAGTCTCTTTCACTGAGGTCTCCCAGACAATCGCCTTCGTGCACTTCAAACTCCATGTGGCGGGTTTGCTCCGCCTCCTCTTGGATGGCCCTTAGCTTCGCATCGAAGTCTTCTTCATCAGGCACAGCGAAACCACACTCAATCAGCTCCTCCCTCATCTCTGCGGTGAGCTTCCTCCACGAGTTGATAGTGTGTCCCGCGACCAAAATGCGAAGTCCCTCTGTTCCCTGAATGGGACTATGCCATCTCCGAGGATTCACCTTCACGGGCTCCGTGAGCATGTGGATCTGGCCTGGAACCTCAGCTCCGTTGACGTCCATAGCATGATATTTTCCACGAAACACATCGCCCGGCTGAAGCTCCTCCCACACGCCTGCGCCCTTTGTTGTCCTTAGAGGAGATATAAGGTTGTAGGAGTGCTTGTCGTTGAAGGAGTCCCTGTGCGTTGGCATAACCGCATTCCTCACAATTGTTGCCGACGTGAACGCCTCCATTGGGAAGTCCATCTTCAGCAACTGGGTCACCTTCTCCGTGAGCTGCGGGGCGGGCTTCCTTTGTGTACTTCGTTATGCCAAACTTTCCCCCAAAGTTAAAAGCCCCAACTGTTGAGTAGCTGGTGTCCTCGCGGTCGCCGTCCTCAACAGTCAGCTGCGGCCTTTTCACCTTGTGCACTGGATCCTTTTCCATCAAGTCCAAGATCTCCTTCACAAGAGCGGCTCGCTCCTTCGCATAGTTCTCTTTCTCAACCTTTTTGATAGCGAGCCCATCTTCACCAATGGGCCCCTTTTTGAGTAACCTTCGCGCCGGTCTCAAAGGTAGCACATCGATCTCGTCCTCGTCTTTCAAAGCTCCGGGATCATGTAGTCGAGCTCGTAGGTGGGTTGTGACCGTGAAGCGTTTAGTCTCGTCTTCCAAAATGGCTGATCCGCCATTCACATCCCACACCGGCCCCATGTAGACCCCCTTTGTCCAATGAGGTAGCAGATCGTGTCGACCACCATCCCCGTACCTTTTCTTCTTGATTGCCACTCTGGTTCCATAGGGACAGGGAACCCGAGGATCTTCTGGTCGGAGTCGTTCTTCACGTTGTCGATGGGCTGCTGCCTCCATTGCGGTGGCCCAGTGCTCGGTCCCCATTCCAGCCGAGCGCAACAGCGTTCGAGCTCGCCCTTTGAGAAACCGCACTGCTCTTTCGGCTGTTCCATTGCTTTGGGGGGCTTGCCCCTCCGTTCTTGTGAGCCAGATATTGTTATCCAGCGTCCACGCCCTCAAAGCCGGCGACCTTAACTCATGAGCTCGATCTGAATGGATTCTGAGGACTGGGAGATTTTCTTGTCGTAGCTGTAGCACCACCTCTTGGATCGCCCTCATAACCTCCTTTCCGGTCTTCGTCTTGAGGGGCTTGATGAAATAGAGGTGGTCGATGGGGATCTCGTGGTTCCCTTCCAGCGGCTCATCATCTGCCGCCGTCTTCGCTTGGTCCTCAGCCACCAATTCGTCGTCGTCCCATAGTTTATCCGCCGCCTTCATTGCTTGGATTTTCGGGTCCAGGTCCTCGCTCACCTCGGGTTCCGACAGCTCTATGTCTGCCAGCTCAGATTCAAGTAGTGCCCGCTGCGCCTCCTCATCCAAAGGCTCATCAGACCCCTCCTCAGCACCCAAATCTGAGAAGTCGTACTCCAAGGAGGCCATGTCGCCTGGCTCTGGTTCAGGAGGGGGTTCTTGGTCAGGGAACCTGGGCATTGAGTAGGAAGCCGCCAAGAAAAAACGGTACCCCCTTCCATGGGTGTTTCTGCTTTTGATCCTCATGGGGCCCCCAACGTCCACGCTGAGGACGTAGGCGCTTTTCTGCTTGGTGCGCCTATGCTGTTTTCCAGACCCCATCATCATCACGCAGTACTCACAGTCCTTTCTAAAAGGTACATGATCTCTTTTAACATGTAGCTTCCATCCTTGCTCCGCTGTTAGCTTTCGTAACTCTTCTTGCGGCTGCCACACAGCGGTTGAAGCCACTCCAGCCAATTGCAATGCCGTCACCAACGATCTTCTCACCTTCGCTGCGGCTGCACTCCACGACATAGACGAAGGTCCTGGCTGGTCCCCTCCATCTTGCATGAACTCCTTCAGGTTGAGATTGTCGCAGATTGTAATTGCGGCTCCTTTTCGATCCTCCTCCCCGGTTGCCCCTATTGTCGTAGTAGTCGCTCCCAAAGGTTTCACCACCTCAAGGAATTCCGTCATCATAGGGGTTTGCCACACGTCAATTCCATCTTTTGCTTCGGAAACCCCAGTAGGATCTCCCGGGTTGCTCATCATCCAACCCACCGGCCTTCCCTTGGAGCACGTGTGAGCTACCAGGTACAAAAGGATCTGCCTTGCGGTGAGCGAGGTCTCCTTGTTCACATAGTACATCTCCGTTGGAGACAACCCGGTGATCCCATAGGGCTCCTCTTTGGTTCTCCAAGGCTTCGCATTCTTTTCTTTCACATACGGCCTGGGATCATATGTCTTCGCCGGCGGGCTCCCGATCACCGCCTTGACCCTTGAAGTCATTGCACCCCACATCAGTGCCTTGTAAGCCGGGCCCCGCATGCTCCAGCCACCATGCAACAGAATCTCCACGTTGATGATCACGACCTCCGAGTTGGTGTCAACGTTCACCTGGCCATTCAGCGACTGCACTGGGTCCTGCTTCAAGTTCTTGCCACCGTAAAGGTTTAGAACCCAGGCTTTGGACCGCATCAACTTCTTCCGGATTCTCCTTGACACAGGGAGGCCCTTCAGGTACTCCCAGCCAGATTTATCATTCGCCTCCACATTCGGAACCATTCCCATCAGCACCTCTTCAGGGAGTCCCTTGAAAATGGGCGATTTGTAGAGGGCCTGCAATCCGTCCACAACGCACCCTTCGGAGGCGTAGGCCGCGAGGTCTTGTCTCCAGTCCTCAGTCTTCGCCTCCATCATCCGAATCGCGTTGAGGCGGTCCTGCAGCTCCAGTGTCCTTTGGCGGAGCTCGTCCATCCTTCGCGACTCTAGCTCTGAGATCGACATTGCCGCTTTCACTGGGTCCGCTATCTCTGGGCAACCTGCTCGGATTCTCGTGCGGATGGTGCCGTACTTGGGGTGCTTCAGCATCAAGCCCCCTCGCGTCCACTTCAAGGTGCACCCGAGAGACTCAACGAGCCCCCCTAGGGGCAATATGGTCTGCGCTTCCTTCCCCTGGGCTGGATCCAGGATGATACTTCCTGCTGGGGTCTGACGCAGTAGGCGCTTCTCATCTCCAGCCAGCACCACGGGTACCTCCTTGCTCGTGAGGTGCTCTCGTTCATCTCGAGCGGGCCTCAGGACGTGCGTTGCTCCTGAGTCAAGAAGAGCACCGCGACTTTCATCTTCAGTGGTTTGCGGCGTGCTCACCTTGAGGGCCTTTAGCTTCATCTCGTCGAGCTGGCGCTGGATGGACTCATATGTTGGTGCCCCTGATGTGGTAGTGGTTGCTGGGGTTGTCGTTGCCATCATGGTCTTCAGCATTTGGTGGGCGTCGGTGAGGATCTGCTGGAGGTCCCCCGGGGGCTCCTTGCTTGAGCTCGCTGGGCTGCCAGCCGGTGACGGCTCGGGACCAGGTTGCGGTGGTTCCTTTTGACCACCTCCAGTTGCCAACGATCTCGTAGCCGGGGAAGCCGCTGCCGTAGACGATGAAGTCGCTGCCCCTCCGCCTTTATCTCCCTTCCCTTTGCCTTTGGGGCCAGAGGTAGGAGACTGCTGAGCTGGCTCTCCCTGCTTCTTCGTCGGGCAGTCCTTCTTCTGGTGTCCCAGGGCCGAGCATAGCAAACAACGTCCCGTTTTGGCCGTCGTCCCCCAATCATGTTGGAACTGGCACTCCGCTCCTCGACGACATCCATCATCTGACTTTGCAAACCATTTGCAGAGCCTTTCCTTCTTGTCTGGCCTCGCCTTCGCCCCTGGTGTTGCCGTAGTAGCTGTCGTAGCGTCCGGCGTAGCGGCTGCGCTCTTGATCCTTGGTGCGGACCGCGAAGCTGTAGAGGTCGCTGTGCTTAGAAGTTCCATTTCAGCCTGCAAGTGCTTATGGAAGTCCAACGTCGTTTCTTCAGTTGGATTACTGTCTAGCTGCAACCGATTTCTCATCATCGTTGTTCTCAGCCATACGTCTTGGTTCTTGACGAGGACCGGGGCCACAATCAGCGCCAGGCCTTTCACCATGAGCACAGGATCAGGCACCGCGACCGTCAAGTCCTTGGCCCTCGAGAACCACCTTCCCCACTTCCTCAACGCCTGCACGGCCAGCTCCGGAGTGGCCACTCCCTCCGGGGTTGTCAGCTGCTCCAGAAGGAGCGTTTTCTCTTGCTCACCTCCCGGTCTGTAGGTCGTGAGCAGCTTGAACACGAGTGAAGGCGATGACCCAGTAACCTTCTTCGTCACCATCTCGCTTTTCACCTCTGCCTCAGCCCTTGCATTGACCCGGCCATACTTTCCTTGCTCCAACCTTGAGTCCCGCGGCAAAGCCAGGGTGAGCTTCTCCATCGGCGTCGCAGTGACCCACTTCTTGTAGTGCTCGTCCGCCACCGCTCTTACTCCAGTCCACCATTCATGACTGGTGTCTGATAAGTCGCCCATGATCGAGCCGACCTCCTCCAGCCAGTCCTGGATATCCACTGGGCTAGTGTCCTTTCCAGGAGGATCCAGATGAGGGAGGGAAGATATCCCTGGTTTCACGAGCTCGGGACCGTCCTTCTTGTCCATCTGGCGAAGCTGTACTTCTTGCAGTTGCCGCATGCCTGTAGCGATCACACCCAAAAGTTCCATTGGGGTTGGCTGTGTTGTCGTCTCGGCGTCTGGACTCTTGGATCTGGCATCATTCTTTCCGGACCCCTCCTGACCCGAACGACCCTGTGACATCGGCTCTTGTGGATCCACCGCATGCGAAGCTTGATCACCTTGAGGTACGTACTGAGAGTGCAACGCCCGATCTCCATGAGGTACTCCTTGAGAGTGCGACGCCCGATCTCCATGAGGTACATCTTGAGAGTGCAACGCCCGATCTCCTTGAGGTACTCCTTGCGAGTGCAAAGCCCGATCTCCATGAGGTACTCCTTGCGAGTGCAACGCCCGATCTCCTTGAGGTACTCCTTGCGAGTGCAAAGCCCGATCTCCATGAGGTACTCCTTGCGAGTGCAACGCCCGATCTCCATGAGGTACTCCTTGCGAGTGCAACGCCCGATCTCCTTGAGGTACTCCTTGCGAGTGCAAAGCCCGATCTCCATGAGGTACTCCTTGCGAGTGCAACGCCCGATCTCCATGAGGTACTCCTTGCGAGTGCAAAGCCCGATCTCCATGAGGTACTCCTTGCGAGTGCAAAGCCCGATCTCCATGAGGTACTCCTTGCGAGTGCAACGCCCGATCTCCTTGAGGTGCTCCCTGAGAGTGCAAAGCCCGATCTCCTTGAGGTACTCCCTGAGAGTGCAAAGCCCGATCTCCTTGAGGTACTCCTTGCGAGTGCAAAGCCCGATCTCCTTGAGGTACTCCCTGAGAGTGCAAAGCCCGATCTCCTTGAGGTACTCCCTGAGATCTGACATTCGCCTCGGCGATCGCTTGTAGCTCATTTCGCTCTCGCCTGAGTTGGTCCACTTGCTGTCGTAGGCCCATCGTTTCATCACGATGCTGGTTCATGAACTCCTGGAGCTGCCTTTGAACTTCGGCCTGCACTGCTGATGAAGCCGTGGACGCTGAACCTCCATGTTCGGGTTGTGGTGGTACTCCATAGAGCGTAGGTGCTTCCATTTCCAAGGCCCTCAAACGCTGCATCTGTTCCGCACTGAACAGGCTTGTGGATGCCATCCGCCTTTCGGATCTACTCTGACTCGGCAGTTCCTCCGGTGGAGAGAAATTCAAAGCCTGCACCAGATTCCTTCGTGCCCTCGGGGACATCTGCTGGATGCGCTGCGGCGTGTGCTGTGCTTGTTGCTGAGGGAACATGAACTGTTGCATAGGTGCTGGCTGGTGATGCTGAGGCTGAGGTGCTGTTAGAGGTTGCTGGAGTGAAGGGGTTTCTTGGGTTCCCGTAATTCCCAAACCCTCTAAAACCCTTTCCTGCAAACCGCCCGCTCCCGTAGCCGTCGTCCTCAAGAAGTCAGTCAAACGCGCCACCCAGCGAACGACTCGACCTTGGTCTCCAGCAGCTCCATACATAACTTCCACGTCCCACGTCCTCGTCGCTTCGCGCGCCGAATCCGGTTCCGGGGGACTTCTTCCCGGTACTCCGTTGGTGCTAGCCTCCATCGCCAGCCGTTGAGTCGACTCTGGTGATAAAAACGGCCTGTCCACTGTCCCAGCGTCCACATCTGCCAGCGCCTCCACATGGGTCCTCGGTCCCACATGCCGCTCGGCACTCAGTCCCACAGGGGCAGCTTCTGTAGCCGCTCTCTCTCGCATCACTTCCCCTCGATGCCCTAAAGGGGCCGGGGGAACTCCGTTCGGCAGCTCTGGCCTGTCATGGTGAAGCCCTTGGCCCATTGCTCCATAAGCCGGGCCCATAGCTTCTCCTTCCAGAACTGGTAGTCGCGCATCTCGAGCTTGGGAACTCATAACCTGTGAAAGTCTTGAAGGGCTTGAGGAGTTCGAACGGGTTCGTCTTCGGTACAACGTGGTTGTCGAAAGGCTCACGGCGCCTTAAAACCAGCTCTCGACCATCAACCCTTCGCACACTCCTATCGAATTTTTCCACGCAAGAACATGTCAGCAAGCTTCTTTACAGTGCCTGCTATGCCAGTGACGGCTGTGCTTCTGCCGATCATGGCTGTGCTTCTGCTGATCATGCCTGTCTTTCTGCCGATCATGGCATGTTTTCCGCTTGAGCATGCGGATCAGCAACGATCATTAACAGCTCCACTGTTAGTCTATACACATGACCGTTCAAACCCAACGCTGCATGCAGAGGTTTCTTCATACTGCTACTCCTGCTGCTGCTGCTGCTGCTACTGGTAATTACCGATACTGATACTGCTGAGTAGTGGTATGTTCATTTTGATCATGATACCTGTGTAAGAACATGCATATGTGTATCTGTATTTACACGCATACGTGCATGCAAGCATGCATACATACACATACATCCGCACATGTGCACGCGCATACGCACATATGTGCATGTGTTCAGGATACATGCACGCAGCATGTATGTATGTAGTTGTGTTAGTTGTGTCCGGCTGTGCACGTATGCAACTGTAGTTCACTAAGTTGGCTTAATTACATGCAACTCACATCGCGGATGTGACCAGCATAATGTACATGCGGATGCAAATGCAAGTGGAATCGCGACGCAATGCAACGCTCGTCGATGTGCGTGTGGGTGTGCATTTTTTGTACACCTATATCTATACATATACACACAGGTATACATGTATGTGCGAGTGTATGCGTGCGTTTGCGTGTTTGTGTGCCTATGAGCTGCTTTACTACGTCAGCTGAACGGGTCCTTGGCAGGACCAGCTGGATCAATCCAGGTCTTCTCTTGGGCGAAAACGATGTGGTGACCAATCGTATTCCTTGTCTCTCTTTATACACTGGAAAACAATGCCCTTACGTCGGTGGTGCACTTCTTCTGTAGGGTCTTGCTGTCGACTTGGAAAACAGTAGTGGGTTGTTGTTCATTCGTGACGAGAGCAGAATCGAAACGCGGTCAGTCGGAGTTGTTCACTGGCCGCATCCGTTATCAGCACCAGTGAGGTCCTGTTTAGAACACCTTTGACTAGACTTCTGAAGCGGATTTCAAACGTTCGTTTGAAGAGTGCCAGGACCTCCAGGATAGCCTGCCGGTGGTCAGGTCAGGTGCTTTAGGCCACGAGGGTGGCTGCTGAAATTCGTGCAGATCTGATGGAGCTTTTGCTTTTCGATTTTTGCAATGCCTTTACAAGTTCCTTTATGTCACGTGGCAACCACGCCTGAGACCTGTGACCCAAGTTGGTCGGTCGGGCTGCTACTGACCCAAGCGTGGCACCCCAAAGAATGGAAGGGAGGTGCCATGGCAGCAGGTCTCCAAACTTTTTCGAAGCCCATCAGCGCACACTATCCTGGTCGTGAGCGCTGGGCACTCCGAAGACGGGCACTGCGCATGGCCAGGTCACATGTGGGAAATATGCATATGATTGTACAGCCTGCTTGGCCGAAACTGGTTAAACTTCCTTGCGTCACCGAACAAAATAAGCTTCCTTCTCGTATCAGGAGCTGTGACGCACTGCTGGCCTGCTCCTTTGATGACCCTGATCATTGTGCCTGTCATGATGAGAGAAGCCCTTGCACAGAGTTTGCACCATTCGCTGCCTTCAAGTGCTGAAGGGTTTGCTGGGGGGGGGTCCCCCGGAGCTTGAAGCCTGGGTTTCGCCTGGCTTGGGAGCGAGGTGCTTTGCTTCGGGGTTTCGGGTCCAAGGCTCGACTTTAGGGCTGCAGGGCTTGGAAAGAAATGCAGCGTTTGGGGTTGTGGGGGTGCCTTGGGGAGCTTCGGGGTTTACTTCTGGCGGGTACTAGCAGCTATATAGTATTGCCAAGTAGCAGTTTCATGTACAACACTGCTACCAATACCAAGGGGAGAGGAAAAAGGGGAAAAACTCGTTGTAGTTTTGCTGCTGCCAGGACCCATGGCCGGCAGCAGCAGGCAGCTGCGAAGGCGAAAAAGGCCCGGTGAGTTGAGTCCCCGAGACCTTTCAAGCCCAAAAAGCTCACAAGGACCTAAATCAAAGAAACCCCAAGGGCCAGGACGCCTGCCACCCGAAACCTTCAAGCAGGGCAGCAGGGGATTGAAGTTTCTGAGTTTGATTTTCGACTGCTCGGCTAAGGAGTACCGAAGAGACAGAGTTAGGGTCCACAGGGTCTAGGGCCTGGGGTTTCATTCCGGGTACTGGCCTCCGCTTAGGGTGGGTGTTCTCTTTAGTTTTTGAGGCTGGAGGTTGGATCGATCCTACAGTGCTGCGCACCACCGGAACCCTGCCCTAAGCAGTCTTCGCGACCCTAGACCCCAATAAACCCTAAGCCTTGAACCCAAAGAGCTTACTTAAACCCTAAAGACTCAACCCTAAACCTTAGGCCCTAAACCAAATTCCGACGCAGGTTTGTGATTGCCGGTCCCAGAGCAGGGCAGTTGCTAGCCTGGCTCTCGGAGACCAAAGTTGTAATGTAGGGACCGAGACAATTAGAATAGATTTTTGTGGTTTAGGAAAATATGGTTATGATAAGGGGCCCCCAAAATGGGAAAGGTAATTATTCAGGCCCCGAAATCGCCGTATATTACCCTGAGCCCAAGAACCGAAAAAAAAAAAACAAAAGAATAGACCCCCCAAAAGCCCTACACTCTAGGCACAAACTTGCGAAGTTGGGCCTTCGAAACCAGTAGAACCCGAGAGAGAGCAAGGGAGGAACGTGGACTTTCCCAGACGACCTCTGAGGTAACTGCCTCCCTATGCGCCGGAAGCTGAGTCGAGCAGCAATTGTGCCGTTAGGGCCCTCCGGTTTCCCCGAGAAGGGACTCCGCCCAAACCTCCAAATCTCAAACTCAAGCCCTCAATCCCTAAGCCGGAAGCCCTAAACAAGCAAACCCTCAGCCCCCCTAAACCCTAAGACCTACGGTGGATGATATAAATTCTGCATTACCCTAAGGACCGGACCCTAAAACCCTAAACTATGGGAATTATGGTATACTCCTTATTATGGGTAATGCAGGATTTCTATCATCAACCCTAGGAGGCCGAAGGCGTCTCTTCTGACTTGGCATCTGAGGCTTTAGGAGCTTGGCTTTCTGCTCCCAAAGCCTGGATAGCAAGGCGCAGGGCTTAGGGGACCTGAGGCTTAATTGGGGTTTATGGGAATATTTTTTATCGTATTATTGTTTTTATTCTAGTTGTATTTTTATTATTATAATAGTAGTAGTATTATTGCATTATTATTATTAGTAGTATTAGTATTAGTATTAGTATTAGTATTAGTATTTGTATTAGTATTAGTATTAGTATTAGTATTAGTATTAGTATTAGTATTAGTATTAGTATTAGTATTAGTATTAGTATTAGTATTAGTATTAGTATTAGTATTAGTAGTATTAGTATTAGTATTAGTATTAGTATTAGTATTAGTATTAGTATTAGTATTAGTATTAGTATTAGTATTATTATTGTTATTATTATTATTATTGTTATTATTATTGTTATTATTATTATTACTATTATTACTATTATTATTATTATTATAGTATTCTGTGTTTTTTTTGGCGTTGTTGTCTTGTCGATCCATGATGTGGTTGGTCTATCCGGATCTCTTTGGCTCCGTTCCACTGCCTGCACGATGCGCACCTGCAATGCTGCATGCTGCAAGCGTGCGTCAATGTTGGTATACATGATGCAGCAACGGTGTGCAAGTTGTGCCATGTCGTGTTGTGGCAGCTCATTGTATGACAACTCTGCCGACACTTCCACTGAAGACAGCGACGAGACCAATTCTGTTGCACGGTACCGCAACCACAACTTGTCAACTGCTGCCGTGTTTCCTCCAATCCTCCTCGCGGCTGCTGCCACCACTGCCACGGCTGCCATCACCACCACCAACACCAGCTCGCTACAGTGACTAAAAACAGTGCTGCTGCTGCTGCTGTTGTTCTCCTCTGCTTCTACGACGATGACGCGACGACGACAACAACTGCTGCTGCGTCTGCCTGCTACTGCTACTCGTACTGCTCCTGCTCCTACTATCATCCTACCCCTCCTACCCCGCCTCCTCTTCCTCCCCCGCCTACTTCTACTACTACTACTACTACTACTACGACTATACTCCTACTCCTACTCCTACTCCTACTACTACTACTACTACTACTACTACTACTACTACTCCTACTCCTACTCCTACTCCTACCCCTACCCCTACTCCTACTCCTACTCCTACTCCTCCTACTCCTACTCCTACTCCTACTACTACTACTACTACTACTACTACTACTACTACTACTACTACTACTACTACTACTACTACTACTACTACTACTACTGTTGCTACTGTTGCTACTGCTACCACCTTCGCTGCCGGCTTGTATTGGTAATCCCTGCGTCTGTGATTCAGGCCATGGTCTTCCGGCAGAAGGCGCGCTTTTGAAGACTCTGAACAGCATTCACGAGGGAGTTTCCGACAATAGGGGACCCTAATATAGTACCCTAGGATCCTCATTATAAGGACCGCTAAATGAGGAGCTGTCAATCTAAGCATGCTGCCGTCAATGCGGCCCTCGGCATTCCCCTGGCAAGTCTAGGACGGATCCGTGCGAGGTCTCCAAGGGTTCGCTGCCTGGCTGTGCAGCCCTTGGTGACGGAGATGTCTGAGGCCGGTGGTTCAAAACTCGAAAACCCTAAACCCTGAAGCTCTGAAGCCCTCAAGCCTTAACCCGAAGCACTGTAGCAAGCATTCAGATGTTTGCCTCAAGTCGTAAACAATAACCCCTGAACACCCAAGTCAGATCCCTTAGCCCTAAGCCCTAAACATCAAACTCCTCATGTGCTTATGCAGGCCTTCAGGCGATGCGTCCATGAGTATCATCCGGAGGAACCCAGCAATGAGGACTTTGATGAGGGGTCAGGGCCCCTGGCCTGCCCACTTCAAGATGCAGGGATAGACTTAGGCATGAGGGTTTCGGGTTTAGGGTTGTGACACGGGTTTGGGATGTAGGATCCATCATGTAAGGCTGTCTGATGGAGTTTGGAAGAGTTCAAGGAGGTCTACTTGAGTTTAGGCAGGGTCACGGGACGGTGTGTAGTTGTCACCAGTTCGATGATCATGCATCTTTTGCGTTATACACATGTACCCTCTGGGTGTCGACTCGTCGTCCGCACCAGCGCCGTTGTATTGTGAGCGCTTGGCTGGTGGTAGTTGCTGTTCTGTTCCGCCCTTGGTCAGGACGCGACGTGTTGGGTGCCGATGTGCTAGAGCATACGCGCCCGTTTTGTTTTTTTGCCTCGCGACGCCTTTACCAGCAGGGTTCTACATAGACGCCGTGCTTTCTGTTTCCATGTCTTCCTCATGAGTAGGCGGCATGTGTATGCTTGTATAGCTTTTGGACCAATCTGCTCTCAAGTCTTTCCGATGTTTGTGTAACCCTCTCTTTGTCTATCCATCTGTCTGTCAATCTATCTACTTGTCTATCTTTATATCTATGCAGCCAGCCAGCCATCCGTCCTATATGTCCATCTATCTATCTATCTATCTATCTATCTATCTATCTATCTATCTATGTATCTGTTCATCTGCCAGCATGCTTATCCGTCTCTGTCTGTTCATCTCTGTCCCTCTCTCTCTCTCTCTCTCTCTCTCCCTCTCTTTCTCTCTATCCATTTGTCTATCTATCAATCTCAATGACTATATATCTACCTGACTAGCTACTAACTGCCTAGCTGACTAAGTAACGAACTAACTACCTAACTAGCTAACTAACTAACTTACTAACTAACGGACCTATCAATTTGTCGGTCAATTCTTTCATTTATCTGTTTGTCTATCTATCTGTCTACCTGTTTATGAGGCTGAAACGAATCTAACCTAGTCTATTCTATCCTAACTCAATCGAGTCTCATCAATCTAGTCTACTCGATTCGAATCCAGCTTAATCTGCTCGAACCTATCTATCCATCTATCCACGTGTATGCGTATGTAATATATAACAAAAATAGACATACTTGTATATATATATATATATATGTATGTATATGTATGCAAATCCAGGTTCCATGCGTATGTGTATGTATATGTACGTATGTGCTTGTGTCTATGCGAGAACAGGTGCCAAGTGGCTAAGCAGGCAGGCAGGTAAGTAACTTCGCAGGTGGTGGTCGGTCGGTCGGTCGGTCGGTATGTCGCAGAGTGAAGGTGTCCAGCGGCACTCCACACGACCATACGACATGACGCAGTACAACATGCGAGCGCGGATGAGGTTTGAAGCGCTCGGAACCCCAACCTCAACGGTCTAAGTCCGAAAACTTAGAAGCCCTGAACCCTTCGGCTCTGGACGCCTGTCGGATGTCTAAAGTCCTTGCTTCTCCAGGCCGCCGGCGACAGGCTTCAGGAACCTGACCGAGTGCATCAGGTGGGAGCCTCTTCTCCAAACCCCAAAGTCCCTGACGCTCCTAAACCCTGGAAGCCCAATCCTAAACCCGAAAGCTCTCAAAGCCCAAAACTGCAGGCCGTATCATCCGAATCCAGAATGGCAGATCTTTCCTGGCGGCCCTCCTCTCAGAGCGATCTCGAAGCTCCATCGGAGCCCAGCGCCTTCCTTCTTCTGTTATGGTTTTTGGCTCCTTGCCTCCCGATTCAGAAGTGGGAAGCTTCGAGCGGGACCAGAAGATCTGCTCCATGCACCCGATTTGCAGCTTGTGCTTGGCTTCTTTTGCCGCTTTCATGTCAGGCAGGGCTGATTTTTTGGCGGGTAGGGTATGTTTGCAGACTCCAGTGGATACACTAAGTAATGAAAAGATTGCTAGTCGTAGACAAATTAAATCACAATCGCCGTCCTTCATGCAAGCAGAGGGTGCCCCGAGATCCTTTGGTGGAGGTACACGCTGGCCACGGGTCTTTTCAGAGATATCAACAAATGCATCCGGGACGACAACGAAGACGGTCTTCGGCGGCTAGCTTGGCTCTCAGTGGTTCGTTGGGCAGTGTTGTTGCTGCAAAGCGGAAGGACTGGGCTTTTGCTGAGATTTCCGGCGATATCAGTTCGAGCACAAAGGAAGTCAAATGACTGGCTTTATAGATTATCCCCATAAGCAGGACACCAAATACTACTATCAAGCCATAAACCCAAACCATCCCAGACCCCAAACCCTACCCTAAACCCTAATGCAAGTTACCATATTCAGAAAGCTATAGAAAGCCCTAAACCCTAAACCCTAAACGGCCCTGAACCATACACGCCAGTAGACTCTCCCAGGCCCCAATGATTTGGGAGATCCGCGAGGTGGGTGAGGGACCGCGACTACACCACGAGTTCCTGATGCCTCGTCTTGTAGCACACCCTCAACTGTAGGCCCCCGAAACCACGATTCCCTAAGTAAGTAAACTAAACCGTGCGTGCAGTGGTTGTCATTAATCCGAAACCGAAAGCTAGACTCGGCAATGAACCCGAAACCCTAAACCGCGCGGGCTGGCAAAGAGGTGCTACGGTTCGAGACCGCAAAGATTTGCAAGCCCGACGGGCGCAAGCTGGGGCCTTAAGGAACTCGTCAGCTTTTGTTCGGACCCCAAGGTTCTGTTTGGACCCCCAAGTTTGAACATGTTTCTTTCAGGGGTTTGCAAGCTTGTTCTAGCTTCAATGTGGGTTTCAGGGTTTGCCGGGTTCTTAAGTCTTAGACTAGAATGAATGACTAGAAAGTTAAAGTAAGGGTTAGGGTTGCGGGTGAGGTGCAGCCTGCGGCCATTACTCTAAGGGCGTTCACTTGTACGTTTTGTCAGTCCCTAAACCCTAAACCCTAAACCCTAAGTGCACAAGCATCGGCTTCGTATTCTCGAGCCATGCCATGCTCAGGTGCAAACCTTTCACGGGGAAGTGCTTGCGTGGCCTGGAGGTCCAACATGTCCGATGCAAATGGTTTTAAAATTTAAAGATTAAAAATATATAAAATTTAAAAAGTAAAATTTAAAAAGTAAAATTTAAAACAGTACATGGAGCCAGCAGTTTGTCATTACGATCGCTTTTCCTGAACGGTAGCTTGACACTGCTGGCGGAGTTTTTGGTAATTCGTTCAGCTCGACCCTTTGATTCATCATGGGCTTGTAGGTTCCGGAAGAGGAGGTCGAAAAGTTGGCGTCTCTGTACAAGGCCAGGACTGCATTAGTTCGGTTTACCAGCCGCGAAAAGCACTACAGGCTGTGGCATTGACGCAGCAAAAAACACGACTTGACGTACAACTAAGTCGCAAGTGAGCGCAAAATATTGACCAGTGGTATTACTCGACATGAAGCTGGCAAGCAAACACAAAAGCAAACAAAGCATCGAAAGCTGGAATGCCAGGAGGGTACGGAGTTCGTCTGGCCAGCCTTTACATCCTGCCAGTTAGAGGATGGAGGCGCCTGCGGGTGATTTCGGGTAGCGCATACTGAGTCTGGGCTCACAGGATTGTTTGTATGGGCTTACGGATTTGGAGCCTCAAGGTTCAGAGTTCAGGCTTGGCCGCTGCTAGCATGATAGCTTGGTCGTAGCAGCCGCAGTAGTAGCACTAGCACTAGCACTAGCCGTAGCAGCAGCAGTATTAGTAGTAGCAGTGCTAATTGTCCAAGGAGCACTCGTAGTCTTAGTCGTTGTCGTAGTTGTGGTTGTGGTGGTATGGTTGTTGTTGGTGGTGGTGTAGCAGTGGTAGCGGAGGAAGTAGTAGTAAGTAGTAGTCGTCGAAGTCAGTGGTGGTGGTGGTGGTGGTCGTCGTGGTGGTGCTCGTGGTGGTCGTAGTGGTCGTGGTGATGGTGGTCGTGGTGGTGGTTGTGGCAAGAGTAGCAGCAGTAGTAGTATCGGAGTCGGAGTCGGAGCGGGAGCGGGAGTGGGAGTGGTAGGTGTAGTAGTAGCAGTAGGGCGTACTAGTAGTACTAATCGAACTAATAGTAATAGTACTGGGAGTACTAGTAGTAGTTCTCGTGGTACTAGTCGTACTCGTAGTTCTACTAGTAGTACCACTTAGTAGTACCAGTACTAGTAGTAGCAGTAGCAGCAGCACTAGCAGCAGCAAAGGTAATGGTAGCGGTAGTGGCTGTGGCCATGGCCGTGGCCGTGCGGTGGCGAGTGGCTGCACTTGCACTGGTGGTTTCTGCCCTGTCTTTTCCTCAGGCTTGTGGCCCTTCGACGGCAACTTGAACTTTGAAATTGAGCCACGGGCTCTGCAGAAACCTGCAAGGTTGGTTGAGAGTATGGATGCTCGAGTTTGCTGGCGCAGGGACTTGAGAGCCCCTGCGAAGCCCCTGAGCCATGTCTGGACTCTGATTCCGACAGACCTTCACCAGGATCCTGGACACCGGATGAACCTTAGATAAACCCTGAACTGGCACTTCACTAAGCCATACTAAACCCTTTTGAAGCCGAGGTGCAACATCGACCCGAGCAAGCAGACAGGTGAAGTCTTGGCCCCGGTGAGCATCAAGCGCTTCATTGGCGGGTCGGGAGCTCGGTGCATTCGACAAGGGGTTCTGCACAGTAGTAGTCCTTGCTTGCATTCTAATATTTATATTACTGACTATTATTACATATTAGTAGGACTATGTTCTGTATGAGGATATGTCGTAGCATCAGACTGCTGCAGCGGCCAACGGTACTTGAGGCCTTGTGCTTGCAGGCGGTGTAGGAGCTTTGAGTCGGTTGCGAAGAGGCAGGTCCCACCGCAGGTCATGTGAACCCTGTGAAAGGTCCAACGAAGTGCTGTTCCCTCCGCAAACAAAGTTTCGTGTCAAGGAGGACCTGACAAGTTTCGCGAAAGCGACTCGCAAGGGAAGGAAGTGTTTCCGTGAATCCCTTGTGTGAGCTAGCTTGCTTACAGACGCGAGCCTCATGTGTAGAACTGCTGACCGCTCTATCGCTAGCGAGGAGAAGGATGTGCAACGTGTCACCGAGAACGATGAGACCCGCGATGTCCACACGCGTGTGCTGGAGGTATCTTGAGTTGGACCTTCAGGTACTTCACAGCAACTTTGCATCCCACAGTCCAAGGAAACCTTGGTGCTTTCTGAAATGCCTCTCCATTGCTGATGTCGGCAAGCTTGCAGCCAGGTTGTGGAATTGCCCGTGCCAGCCGGTGCCTAAGAGTGGACCGGAAACACGGCCAGACTTTCCAGGCCGCAGACATCAAACTTAAAACCCTGCAGCTCAAGCCCCTAAGCTTTAAACCCTTAAGCCCTGAGCCTCCAATCCTGCAATAAAGCATGTAAGATCCTCACCGGAGCGACCGACGGTTGCCAGAGCTTAGGCAGCTGGCGACAGGAAGCGCTGAGAGCTCAATTCTGCCAAGAGCCCATGGAATACTCTTGGCATGAGCTATAATGAGCAAGAACAATGCATCACACCGTACAAGGGAGACAAAAAGTTATGCACCGGTACAAACATGGCGGTTCTCGACGTCGATACGACTCGGCGCCTTATGCATAAACAGAAGGGCAAGCAGAATGGGCCATTGTGGGAGTGTGCTTTTCCGTCCTCTGCACAGTGTTGGAGACGCAGCATTGTGACAGAGCATGTTTAGCACGTCGTTGGAGGAGGTGATGCTTCCTGAACGAACTTAGACATCCTGGGCGAAGGATCAAGACCCGAATCAAGGCTTCCCGGATATCCAACTTGATTCTCGTTCTCATCAATGCTTGTTGGGTCCAATTGTATGGCACACAATCTTGGCAGCCAGGTCGACTCCCAACTTCGTGCACAGTGCTATAGTACTATGTGTGCTGTCTGCAGATCTGCTTCACGTCGCAGATATACATGTGGGCACGCCTGTCTGTACTGGCTGTCATTCTGCACTAGGTTGCCTTTGCTGGTTTACTTGTTCGCATCGTTGCTTAAAACTAGCTGAACATCACATAGAAACTGTCCAAGGAATGTCTCATGTGGTTCAGCTTCATGGGAATCCAAGCAGAGATCAACACATGTCCTCTCCGGGTTCACTGCACCTCCGAGCATGACTACGGCTACAGAACGGGCCCATCTGCAATCGGAAAGTGCCGAAGAAACGACCACAGCCACCCGCTCCAAAGCTGCACACATCTGTTCGGTCCTAGGATGCAACAGAGGCCGTGTGCAGAACCAAAAAAGGAGTCACTGCAGCTATGCCATGGGGCTTCCTTCCAGAGAGACAGTGAGCCGACTAGCTCTCAGATGATGTTCGTACTGCATCTGCATTCTGCAGGGTCCTGACCGGGCTCAAGAGTCTCTGGGCATCGGACCCTCGGATTTGCTCTCGACCGTCTGACTCCTGGGGCCCCTGTGCCGGAGCCTTGGATTTCTGAAGCCCGAGACAGAAACTGCCCGCAGCTGTCGAGGTGCATGCCCCCCTGGTAGTGGACGCCTGACGTCGTGAGGGTAGCTGCCCCGGTCTCCTGGACAGCAAGCAGAGTCAGAATTCAGAGCACCGTACCTCAGTGCCGCAAACTTGGCAGGTGGCCTTGACCACAAGCCTCACTCCGATGCCGGATCCTGAGCTCCTGGGGAAGCTCTACAGGTAGCGTGTAGCGAGTACTGAGGCTTGCAGATGAAGCTTCTCGACATTTGTTTTCAGGCTGCTCTAGACTCTATAGACCATAGCCTTGGCGCAGGCATGGTGGAGCGGATGTGAAGATGTACAGGAACCGAAGAGGAAGACAGCGAGAGAGAGCGGCAGAGGCGTTTTGCGTTTTGCAAGCCGAGCCGAAGCCAAGGTGATGTTCGAGAAGACACACCGTGCAGAAATCCTGTTCGGCATGGTTTCTCCATTTCTTGGAGGCCTGTTGGCCGAGAGGCTGGGGTGCACACCGACGCGGGTCCTGATGTCCCAAGTTTTTGGTTTGGGCCACCCGATGTGAGCCCGTCACCTTCTCGCTGGTGATCCCCTGCACAGACAAGTTCTGGCAGTGCGCAGTGCCACAGCCCAAGCGGCTATCTCCGTCTTGCGGTCGCCGCGCTTGCCCTGCCGGTGTCCGCTGCATGCCGCTCACCAGTCACACACGTCGCCGGCACTTCCCTGCCACCATGGCGCCTTTGAGTCGCCCTTTGGCCAGCTGCAATGCTTGCACCAGGAGCAGGCTGCATAGAGCGGGGTGGGCAAACTTTAAGCGCTGGGCATGACAGGCATGCCGGTTAATGGGACAGAGTCCGGAAGGCAAGGACCAGGTCTTTGCATTACCGGTCCTTCATCACAATGCCACTTGTCAGAGCCCACTAAATATGTCGTGGTGAATTCCATATTGCCAACCTGAAGCTTGCGTTTGTTGTTGCTCACCTTGCCCGCGCATCTTGGCTACATGTTGCCGAACATGCACCTCACCGATGCAGCATGTCGACAGAATTACTCAGTACTCGGTTTCAGCATCAAGATAGAGTAAGCTTGAGACTACATAATGAGACTTCGTCCACCGGCGAACGTACTAAGTCACCTGTTTTCAAGATGCAGCAGATTTTTCTGCATGACGGCCAAGCTGACGTGCCGACACGACAGCCCGAGGTGAAACCTGGCGAGTGACTCGCTTGACCGTGATTTGCTTGTGCATATGCGTGTGAGATGAGCAAGGGTGCTTTGAAATCGCTCTCACCTCAGAGACACAAGCAGGTCTGTGCTCTTGGACCGAGCTCGTGCTGCTTCAGTTGAGCTTTTGTCTCTCGCCTGCTAAGTGCCCTGGCTGGTGTGAGGCAGGAATGTCGCATTGCTTAACAGCACCAGGTCTCTATTTAGCAGCCGGCGCCGTTGACTTGCAATGCCGTGATCCGTTCCTGCAGCTGGCGCTGCGTGTTGCATCTCCGTCGCGGATCCTTTGTGATGCGCGGGTGCGTGCTTTCCGCCGTCTCGGCGCGAGGGCAATGGCGCCTTCAGCATACCTGCCATGGCAGAAAGTCAGCTTCCCCAAACCCCTCGAGCCGAGGTCTCAGCGTGCAAGCATGCCGGAGCGGCAGCCGCCACTATTGCCACATCGAACACAGGAGCAGGGACCTCTGCAAACGCGCTTGCGGACCTGCTTATAAGAGGGCATGGCTCCAGCAAGCCGCTCCGTCCCCGTTTTCGTATCGGCTCCTGCGACTGATGTTCGGTCCCACGCGTCCGTCGTAAGTTTAGGCTTGTTTCAGGAGCTGGTGGAGTGCATTTCCTGGGGTTCGGCTGATCTGAGGTACGTTTTCCTGCGCCTTGGATGCCGGACGTCCCGAGCCGACACCTCGTCCACCATCCATGCATGGGGCTTCTTGAGGGGGAAGGCTGCAGGCACACGCATGCAGTGCCAGCCCCTCCTGTCAGCGTCGCTCACGCCGCACGGAAGGCCAGCCCACACAGGACACCTGCCAACAGGGGCCATCTCGCTAATCATCCACTTGCAAAATGCAGCCAGGTGGCATGACCACGGCATAGAGATCCGAAGGAAAGGGCTGCCATACATCCGCAAGTCAGGGCTTTGCACCACCAGTTGGTCTTCATGCCGCGCCGAGCCGGTGTCGATAACTTTAATGCTACTGCTGTGAGGCTGGCACATCGTGGCAGCCGTACAGAGCAAGTTCGCTCTTTGCTCCGGCCTAGCTACATGCTACTGAAAATTTGCACCTCGCCTGCGCTGCAGTCTCTTGCAGCTCGGGCAAATTGATGGTGGCATCATGTGGCATCTTGGCGGTGGTGCCTTCAACAAGCTGAAGCACTTCGCTGCTTGACGGCCAAGCTGATGTGTCCCGTGCCGACACGACAGCCCGAGGTGAAACCTGGCGAGTGACTCGCTTGACCGTGATTTGCTTGTGCATATGCGTGTGAAATGAGCAGGCGTGATTTGAAATCGCTCTCACCTCAGAGACACAAGCAGGTCTGTGCTCTTGGACCGAGCTCGTGCTGCTTCAGTTGAGCTTTTGTCTCTCGCCTGCTAAGTGCCCTGGCTGGTGTGAGGCAGGAATGTCGCATTGCTTAACAGCACCAGGTCTCTATTTAGCAGCCGGCGCCGTTGACTTGCAATGCCGTGATCCGTTCCTGCAGCTGGCGCTGCGTGTTGCATCTCCGTCGCGGATCCTTTGTGATGCGCGGGTGCGTGCTTTCCGCCGTCTCGGCGCGAGGGCAATGGCGCCTTCAGCATACCTGCCATGGCAGAAAGTCAGCTTCCCCAAACCCCTCGAGCCGAGGTCTCAGCGTGCAAGCATGCCGGAGCGGCAGCCGCCACTATTGCCACATCGAACACAGGAGCAGGGACCTCTGCAAACGGCCTTGCGGACCTGCTTATAAGAGGGCATGGCTCCAGCAAGCCGCTCCGTCGCCGTTTTCGTTGCAGCTCCTGCGATTGATGTTCGGTCCCACGCGTCCGTCGTAAGTTTAGGCTTGTTTCAGGAGCTTGTGGAGTGCATTTCCTGGGGTTCGGCTGATCTGAGGTACGTTTTCCTGCGCCTTGGATGCCGGACGTCCCGAGCCGACACCTCGTCCACCATCCATGCATGGGGCTTCTTGAGGGGGAAGGCTGCAGGCACACGCATGCAGTGCCAGCCCCTCCTGTCAGCGTCGCTCACGCCGCACGGAAGGCCAGCCCACACAGGACACCTGCCAACAGGGGCCATCTCGCTAATCATCCACTTGTGCAAAATGCAGCCAGGTGGCATGACCGCGCCATAGAGATCCGAAGGAAAGGGCTGCCATGCATCCGCAAGTCAGGGCTTTGCACCACCAGTTGGTCTCCATGCCGCACTATCTCCGAGCCGGCGTCGGTAACATTAATGCTGCTGCTGTGAGGCTGGCACATCGTGGCAGCCGTACGGAGCAAGTTCGCTCTTTGCTCGGTCCTAGCTACATGCTACCGAATACCGCGCTGCAGTCTTTGGCAGCTCGGGCAAGTTGATGGTGGCATCATGTGGCATCTTGGCGGTGGTGCCTTCGGACACAACAAGCTGACGCACTTCGCTGCTTGACGGCCAGCTGATGTGTCCCGTGCCGACACGACAGCCCGAGGTGAAGCCTGGCGAGTGACTCGCTTGACCGTGATTTGCTTGTGCATATGCGTGTGAGATGAGCAAGCGTGCTTTGAAATCGCTCTCACCTCAGAGACACAAGCAGGTCTGTGCTCTTGGACCGAGCTCGTGCTGCTTCAGTTGAGCTTTTGTCTCTCGCCTGCTAAGTGCCCTGGCTGGTGTGAGGCAGGAATGTCGCATTGCTTAACAGCACCAGGTCTCTATTTAGCAGCCAGCGCCGTTGACTTAATGCCGTGATCCGTTCCTGCAGCTGGCGCTGCGTGTTGCATCGGATCCTTTGTGATGCGCGGGTGCGTGCTTTCCGCCGTCTCGGCGCGAGGGCAATGG